AATATGTGAAATAGAAAATGAGTACTTACATATTTTATTCTTTAGAACTCAAATCAGTTTTACTTACATAAAAAGATTCACAAAGATGTGTTGCTCTTAGTTGAACCTGAGATGCTTCATTGTCAGTGGCAGTGATGTGAATGGATATCATGAGGTCAGTAAAACACTCAAAGAGTGCTGGGAACCATAAACGTGTTCAATAGAAAATATGGGTGCTGGGCCACATAGTGCAGACATGTGTTTGTGTATAGACACTAAGAAATACCGGGTGACATCTGCACCACCCCGCTTCAGGAACCATCAACATTCAGGACCATGCTTCATGGTTAATATCCATCCAAGTTTCCCTTCGTAGGGGCTCCACCGAAGCATGATTTTCATCACTGTCGTGTACACTGTGAGGGCTCGCTAGTTAGCTAGTGCTCAAGAGCCAAGCAGGGTGTCTTCTCCAGAGCCCACATCGTAAGTCCCAAGTCAAATCCAGTCATAACTGACAGGCCCGTTGCAAATGGTGGAGACCAAGCTTCAAAGGCAGCTGTGCCCTAGGTGCTCTAGTCAGCCTTGGAACACAGCGTTGGCCTCTTGTGTCTGCCTGGCTGTCATGGTGCTCAGCAGAATTGTCAGTTCTGATCACATGATCTTGGTGTGCTTCCTTTTTTCCCTTAAATTCTGTGTCTCACACAGTGAGTGCCCTCTGTCTCTTTGTTAGTCTGTTTTGTCTTGCTAGAGCAAAATGTCAGAGGCTGGGTACTTTATAAAATAGAGAGGCTTATTTAACAACTTTGGTGGCTGGGGCATACAAATAACATGGCACTGGAATAGACCCCCAGACTGTGACACAGTATGGCAGAGACATGGAGGGGGAAGTGGAATCTGCAATCAAGATCAAGTGTGGTTCGGGGTGATCTCACTCTATAACAGCTGCTCTCACAACCGCTAATCCACTCCTTGAGAGCAGCCTTCCTCCCTCCAGAGGGTGACTGCTCCATGACCTAACAACCTCCTCCTAGGCACCCCCTTGTAAAGATTCCAGCATCCCACCACCGGCATGCTGGGCCCAGGCTTTCAGGACATGAATCTCAGGGGACACACTCAAGTCACATCTAAACCATAGCACCAGGCCTTCTGCTTACAGCCAGAGACAAATACGTGCCCATACTTTACAGACTGCACACAATAGAAGGAAATTGCACCTCACACAGACACACACAGCCACATAATGTGTGCAGAGATATCAACGCTAGAAGAGTCATAGCTCCTATACCTGCCAACACAGGACAGACAAAGCCTGGGAATCCACAGTGACTCTGTCTGGCACTGCCAGAACTGCGTCGTGAATCTATATTTTCCAACCCCAATCTTTTCCCATGAAGGCTACCATGCTGTGAGGTGGGAATGAAATTATGAAAAAGAACGCATTTTCATTTAAGTCATGCTCAGTGGCACAGAGAAAAATGCTAAAATCTCAAGAGCTTAGCACAATAGCATGGTCTAAGAAGATCTTCTGAAAATAAGACCCAAACAAGGAAAGGAAATGGCTCTAATCTGACTAGATAAATAAGGAAAATTAATGACAGCCCAAAATTAAGGAAGAGTATCTGTCTTCTTTGGCGGGGGGCAAGCAGGACAGCTGCCTATAGACCCCATATTCATATCAGGATCTATTCCCAGCAGAGGGCAGGCCAATTCTGCTCCAGGTGATCATGCAGAATGTAGAAACGCAGCTGCCGTAGGCTGTGCCCTCCTCGATAGCAGGGTCCATGGTCTGCAGTATGAGGACAGACAGGAAAGGAGCAGTTGTAGAATTGCACTTGGAAAGATGCTCTGTGGGCCGGGTATAAAATGACATGGTCACTTCCTCTTATATTCCATCTACCAGACTTTGGTCACAGGGCTGTATATAATTGCAAGGAGAGCTAGGTAATGTGGGACCTAAAAGGAAAGGACGTGGGGTCCACATGCAGCTATTCCCCTTGCTAAGAGGGGAAGCCACACCCCTAAAGCCTAGTGTGATTTCTCACCTCCCAATCTTGATTCCGCTGCCCGTTGTCTAGGAAGTGCTTCATGGCGGCCCTTTCATTTGCTAGTCCTCCTGAACCCTGCCGGCCAGCTCTCTTCTGAGAAGATTTGCCCCACGACCACCACAGACATGATGGGCGCCCAGACTTCACCAAGTCACTGTGCAGCCCTCTGTCCCTATACCTGGCACCTTGTCCCTCAGCAGGCCACCATCCACATCTACATCTTGATACCTGGTCACCTAGCACCACACCTGACGTCTAGTAGACACTCAATAAATGACTGGTGAGGCTTTATCTCCACAAGCCTGCATTTGAAACCAAGGAAATTATTGCTTAGAGGGCTTAAGGGATTTGTCCAGGATGGAAAGGAATAAATGGGAGAAGTGAGATGCTAATCTAAGCCTTTCTGATTCCCCAGACATTTCAGACTGCTCCATATTCCCTTCAACAGGGCAGCAGAACTGGGAAAGAAAGTTGCATTTCACGAGGGAATGTTTGGCTTTGTTTTTACTTCTTTTAAATATCAGGAGCTTTTCAGGAAAGCTATGGACTATTGACATTATCCTCAGTAAAATGCAGGTGCACACACATATATACATACCCCAGATACTGAAGTGGCATTACAGCATATTAATGGTGGTTGTGGTTGCAGACACATAAAATTGTAAATCCTTTGACCCTCATTCTCCCAATATCCTCTGTGGGCCAGCAGGGCTCTTCTCTGTTAGGTGATTCTGAGTGTAGGTTGCCTCCATTGTAAGATGTTATCTCTACTTGCAAATCACCAGCGTGGAAAAAGAGAGAGACAAAAAAGCCACAGTCAACAGCCAGCATGGACTAGATGACAGAAGAAACCCTCAAGCAGGTGAGTAAGGCCATCCACGCGAGACCAGCGGGACCACCTGGCTTAACTAGACCTCCAGTGACTCAAAGAACTATGAGCTCATAAATGATGACTGCTGCAAGCTACTATGTTTGGGGGTTCTTTGTTATGCAACAAAACTAATGAATACAAAAATAGGATCCAGAATGGAATGCTACTGTAGCAAAAAATGTGGGACATTGACTGAGCAGGGGTTGGAAAATCAGTTATCAAAGTTGAAAGACAGCAAACTGTTCATGTGTTCGTAAACCTGGGTATGTAAGAGCAGCTGGACCAGAGGAGTAGTGAAGTGTGAGGCTTTTCCTAGACCTCGACCAGTGCTGACATGCTTTAGAAGCGGAGGGAAACCTCAGAATTTGAAAAAAAACTTGTTAATAGCCACAGATTTGCTACTGACCAGCTGTGAAGCCATAGTGCAAAGGCATGGAAACTGATCCTTATTTTGTAGGTTTATTGTCAAGGTAGACAAGATGATGGCTACGAAGAACAGCTAAAGTGCTGAAATCTGTCCGTGACAAGTACGTGTGTTTGTGTCCCTGCAGCAGAATGAGCAGCACCTGAAAGCACCAGAAGCACTATGAGGTTAGAATTCCAGGAGAACTTTTGGAGCCTGGAAACAAAAAACCCCAGCCAAGTCAATTGGGAAGGCTTTCTTGCCCAAATGGCATTAGTGTATACAACCTAAACTAGTCACCTTGAGCCAGGTGGCACATTTTCCAGGCAGAGGGAACACCAAGTACAAAATCTGGAGGCGAGCACATGATTCACTCAGTGACTGCCCTTTCCAAGGTGAGCAGATGCTGCTGGAGTCAGCATGGATTGTGCCATCTCGAAGGCACATTCTGGTGATATTTTCCTTGAAGGCAGTTTGTTGGTGAGGGACAGCAGGCTAATCTGTGACATATGGAAGGCAGTAAACAGATGAGGTGGGCACCGTCACCCAGGCTCAAATCAAGCAAACTTGACCATGAGACGTGAGGGTTGGCTGCCTTGGCTGTGGCCTTGAGTGTGCGAGAAGTGACAGGCGGGCAGCACAGGTGTTTAATGAGCTCTTCTTGGAATGGCTGTCACTGTGGCTCTTTCCTGTCTTCAGCTAATATTAGACATGAATGTCACCTCTACCTGTACCAGTCATCCTTTCCACTTTGCCTCCCATCCAGGTCAGGGAAGCTGCCTCTGTTTCCCTAAATGTAATGAAATTTTTGTGTGTGTATTTTTATGGTGCATATTTATGCAATGTTTTCATGTTCAGAATCTCACCTGGTTCTCCTAACCCTTTAGTGATGGGTTGACACAGCCCTCCCAATTTCAGTATGCAGAGACAGGATCAGAGACAGTTGGTAAAATATTAGTTGCTTATAGCAAGAGCACACTGTATATCCAGAGTGTTTTGAATGTTTAGACTTATGCAACCTTTCCAGCAACCCTGTGAAGTAGATACTATTACTATCCCTGCTTTACAGATAAGAAATCTTAGTCCCAGAGAGGGTCAGTGATTTACCGGGGGCCACATGGCTAGTGAATTGAAGTAGAATTTGAATTCAGGGAAATGGGTTCTAGAGCCCTTCTGAAAATCACACAGCTGAGAAGAGGCAAAACTGGGATTCAAATCTGGGCCTTTCTAACTACAAACTCTGCATTATACTGAGAAAGAACAACTCACCTGTCTGAGTGCTCAACATATACCTGCGCTATGCTCTTCCCTTACACTAACTTGTTTATCTTCATCATGTTGAGGGTAAGGAGATTGAGGCACGGAAACATCCTGCCTGCAGTTCCAAGTCTAAGGACAAGCAGAGCAATGTTTTTCACACCTTGCCAACTGCCGGTCCCTCTGCTGCTAACCTAAGCCTCGTCTGCAAGAACACAAACCAACGTGCGACTGAGTCTTCCACCACCTTTGCTGGCTGGCAGCGTCACAGTCCCTGCTCCCTTTCCTGTCTGTGCGAAGTTTGCAGGGATTCCAGGCACTGGTGGCCTCCTGTTTTCTTCGCTGAGCTGTTTGCTCTGTGGGAACAGAAGCCAACAGCTACACTGCTTGTGCAGGCTTCTGAGGGGCCCTGGCGTGGCACTGGGCCTCCTTTCACACTGAGAGAATGAAGACAGGGGCGAGGGCTGGAGGGTGCTGGCAGAGGTGTTTCTCCTTGGCCCTGCCCTGGGCTGCCTCAGTTTACCCAGCTCCAGGTAAGTGCTAGTTATAAATGAACCCCTGATCCATCATGTGGCGGGGAACAGAAAGCCACATAATGCTTTGTGTGGCTTGCCTGTGGGACGAGGGACGTCTCTTGCAACTCCCTTCAAATGATTGTGGAAACAAGTGGCTGACTTCAACAAATATTCCCCAAGGAACTGTCATGTTTATATGTGCTTTGTCAGGCTGGAAGATGTGCGTATTTGTTCTGTACTCAAAACAAAGCCTACGTCTGACTCTTTATGCAAAAGAAGTTATATTGTGTAGGAGAAAAAAGAGCCAATTCGTATGAATGGTTTCAATATGTCAGTGACCCACTGCCCCTGCTCAGCAGCCCCAGTCTGGGTTCCAGGTCTCTCTCCTCCTCCTCCTCCTCCTCCTCCTCCTTCTCCTCTTCTTCCTCCTTCTCCTCCTCTTCCCTTTTTCTACCTTTCTTCTTTTTACTCCTCCTCTTCCTCCTTTTTCTCTTCCTTTTCTTCCTCCCCCTTCCTCTTGCCCTCTTCCTCTTCTTTCTTTCTTTCTTTCTTTCTTTCTTTCTTTCTTTCTTTCTTTCTTTCTCTCTCTTTCTTTCTTTCTCTCTCATTCTTTCTTTCTTTTTTCTTTCTTTCCTTCTCCTCCATCTTCTTCCCTCTCTTTCTCCCTCCCCACCATCAAATGTTCATGGCAATGCTAGCTGATTTATTTCATCATTTTTAAGTCCCCAGCAATAAAGTGCAAAACAAGCTAAAGAAAATATCTTAGTGGGGGCTCAAGCTTGGACTCCAGAGAAACGCATGCTGGTGGCTTGGCCATTTGGGGCCCTCCTGGTGCATAAGATGCAGTCACGCTCAGGTGCCCCCCACTTCCTTTTGAATGCTCCTGTGGGAAGGGAGACTGTTAGTGCAGTTCCATATACTTAGGGCAAATCGCCTCATCTAGCACAGACAGCCTCTCGCATACTGTGGGCAGTGCATACATCCAGCCCTTTTCTGAATCCAGATTTAACATTGTGACTTCACCCATGATTCCTCCGTAGCAATCTGAACACAGTGAGGTTTTGCAGGTCAGACAGAAACAGAAGAAAATGTTGAGTAGTTCTGGGAGCAGTAGAGGCTGAAACCTCCTGCACATTAGCTAAAGAAATTGTTTTCATTTTCATTTACTTTGTTATTTAGTCACATTGTGATAGACCTATTGATTATGATCCATTACCACACTGGGCCCCTCCCCCACATTAGCTCCTCCCCATGTCTATTCAAGGGTGATGCTAGTGTTGACAGTCGAACAAAGGAAACTGAGGCTCAGACAGAACTCACTTAACAAACAGCAGGAGCCAGGCTCAAATCCAATTTCTGTTTGGATGGGGGAATGGTAATCTGAGTCCCTGTGTTCTGTCTGCACCTTCTCCCCTCTCTTGGCCAGTGTCCCTGGCATCCAGACATCACACAGATCCTCTGTCTCCGTTGTCTTGAGAGGTTGCTTTAAATTTCTTGTCTGCAGTAGCAAATGACAGAGAGAAGAGAAATCGAAAACCTGCCACCCAGAAGCTACCAGCTTCTAACACCGAGGAAGGCTGCTGTTTGCAAAAGGGATGCAGCTGCCTAACAAATTGTGTGTGACAAGAAACTTGTTGTGTCAGGGCATTTCTACGGAAAGCCAAAATATATTGATGCACCCCGTCTATATAAGCTGATGGCTTGAAATTTACTGCTGACCTCATCCCACTGTACTCCATGAATCCATCTTTATTTTGGTCAGAGATGCCTGTTAGAAAGTGCTGGGAAGACCTGGACCCAGAGAAATAAGTCATCCTGCTGGCAACAGCATCCCGTGCACCCCTAGAAAAGGCACATCCCTGACAGCCCTTCTGTAGAAGCAGCACACGTTCAAGGCCTTACCCAGGATGTTTTATAGCATTATTTGTAATTACAAAACATCGGGGAAATGTGAATGTCCCTCAAAAGGAAGAAGAATCAATTAAATGCAATGCATGTCTTGGAATAGAACATCCAGATTTTTAAAAATGATGTAGATCTCTTTCTGTATCAACATGAAGAGGCCTCAGAAATGCAGTGTTGATTGGCAGAAGCAAGTTGCAGAATAAAATGCATGCTGTGGGGAAAACCCACAAGAGCAGTCCTCTACAGAGATAGGGATGTTTTTAATTAAAAAGATTTGGAGTGGACCTGAAGATTAACAACAGACACTGGGGCATGAGGATATGGTATGTGTTATTTTATTTTTTACTTCTCTAAGCGTGCTTAATTTTGCATAATGAAAAACATATAAAGGATTTTGAATAACAGCAATCAAGCCAGTTGGTCAAACTTTCCAAATGTCCTGGTTTGTCTCTGTATACACTTAAAATGGTGAAAGGCTCTCATAATAATCTACCGAGGCCCGCCTCTGACTCATCCTTTATGTGGCCCATGCTACTCCCAAGAATTAAAGATGCAATTCCATGCCAGCCTTTCTTCTAGATTTGCATTGTGTGGTACTAATAAACCACATGCATCTCATCCAATGTAATTTACAAACTCACTATTTATCCAGCTGATTACTTCATTATATTGCCACCTCCATAATGAAAATTGGGTACAAAAATGAGAGATCTGGTAGTTATAACTTTTTTACTAAGTTCTTTCTGTAAGTGATCCTCTTCTCCATTAACAGGCTTTCAAATCTCAGAGAGGGAAATAATTGTGACTCTTAATAGCTGGTGTGTGTATTACTTACCCTCTTGGTCTCTACTGGGGCCTGGAGTTGGGATGATCATTGCAAAAACACAATGCAACCGTTTTAAAGTCGAAATAGGAAGAGGGTACCCCGCAGAGCTGTCAAATACATAGTTGGGAGAAGCCAAATCACAGACAATATTGTTTTGTCAAACCTGTGCAAATTAGTAGATGGGAGCCCATTCGGAGGCCCCCCGCGGGTGTACAGCACTCTGCCTCCAGTAACCACTTAACCTTATCCACCTGTGGTTTCCAGTAGAGTCTTTGACCTTTCGTTAAAGATCCAGCTTTACTAGGCCATTGATTTTTGCTGGTCTCTGGGGCAGTCATGGAGATGAATTTCACCGTGGTTAATATCATCCTCTTTTTAGGACTTTTGCCAAGTGCGAAGTATTGTTAATGACCTTGTCTGGAATGACATCCTGTGTATTTAAGCTGGCGAAAACTCTGTGATGCTCTCCCTCATGACTCAATCTGGTACGCAGGGATGAGGGAGGCCTTAGGGTGACTGGAGGGATTGCTGGAGTGGAGGCCGGACCAGTTCCCTTCCACCCAGTGTGGGCAATGGCCACGGCACAAGCTCGGAAGTCAGACAGACCTCGGCTCAGATCCCAACACCACTGCATACCACGTGGTGACCGTGGACACGACTCGGTCTCTCTGGGCCACCCCTGTCTAGGAGCCCATTGTCCGTAGTTGCCTTCTGGCATTGCCGTGAGGATCAGATGTGGTGGCCTGGGTGAAACACAGCACAGTGCTTGCCGCGTACATCACAGGCTCTCTGCAAGTCATTCCTCCTCTTGTCTCCTTTCCAGGCTTGAAAAGAAACACACACTATCAACAGTCTCACAGTGCAGTCACTCAGGTGGAAGAAGCAAAGAATCACAGCACGTTCGTCATGCTACAGATGGGGACACTGAGGCTCAGGCAGAGTAAATAGCATGCTCACTCATTCACTCATGAACCACTGTGTGCCAAGGCAAGCAGCAGTGCCTTGACTTTAGCAGTGTGTCAGGCCCTGCTGCTTGACTGCTTTGCAGATGTGACTTTATCTGCCATCTCCCACCCCACACCCACTCACCTCTGTGGACCCTCCTGCCCTGTTATGAGTGTCTGTTATGGCTCCATCTCTGTTGGACAGGGGAGTGTTGTGTGCTCTGCTTCTCCCCTCAAGAATGGTCTCACCCTCCAAGGCAGTTTTTCATGGTCAGATCTGAATTTCTAGCACAGATCTCTCTTCCCAAATTGCAAACCCATGTAGAAACTAGGCACTAACATTCTGTGGAGAGCTGGAGCTCTGCCTACCTCAGCCATCTTCCTCAACGTAGCTTCTCCTTTGCTCTGTGTTCCTGTGCACTCACGCACTCGTACTGGGAACCCTTTCTCTTTCTAACAGCCCTTAAACCATCCAGTCACCCGTCACCAAGCACATCTCCCTCCTCCTACCAGTCCTGGTCCCTGGTCACTGCTCGGAGGCACTCCTGCACCAGCCTCCTGTCTGCTGCCCTGCAGCCTCGGGCTCTCCTGCCCAGCTGCCCCTGTCCCCCAGCATGGCTTTACCACGGGGCCTCATGCTTCAAAACCTGCTACCGAAGAAAGTGCCACAGCACTCAGCTGTGCGTTGTGTTTCTCTCCTTGAGCTGTAAGGCAAGCTGTGTGTTCCAAAGTCAAAACTGCATCTTACATTTCCGTATATCCCATGTAGCACAATATCTCGAATGCCATTTGTTCTCAACAAGTATTTCACAGACTCTTCACACGAGAAGGTACCTTAAAGACCATCTAGTCCAAAGCTCTCCTTTTCCACGGGATAAAACAGCCCAGAGATGCAGAGTGAATTACCCAGAATGATACATCGGGTGGTATTCCCTGCACATCTATAGCACTTTAGACTTTGTAAAATATTTAACTGTACACTATCAATTTTAATCCCAGAAATAACCTTGTGAAGTATGATTAACCACAATTGGAAAGTAAAAACTAAGATCATGCAGCTACTCTGGATTGTTTTCAATACTCCTCTGACCACAGCTAGCCATATGCTGGACACTTACTGGATGTTCAATAAATATTTGTTGGGGGAATAACCTGTACTGGAACAATAAACCAATAGCCTTGCACGAGTGAGCAAGTGTATATTTATTGGGTGGGTGAGCAGATGGTTGGAAGGGTATGGAATTCCTTTCTACCACTTGATTCTCTTCTTTCGTGATGACTTTTTAGAGGTGAAAGACCAATTTTCCTTGAGTCAAGTGCAGCCAACAAGAGCAGACAGGTGCGGAGTGTGGACATTGCCCCAAAGCCCGCTGACTGTGAACTGTCCAGCTGGACCTCCTGGACTGCATGTGACCCCCGTCAAAAAAAAGGGTAAGAACCCAGGCCTGGGAGAGCACGGGGCATCCGAGAGCCCTGGTCCTCAGTGAGATAAGTTGGGGCGTCACTGACAGTCCCTGTTGCACAGCCCTCTGTGCTTCAAGCAGCACTCACATCCTCTCCTTGGCCTTTCAGGGTTGTCAAGCACATCTGTCTTTGAGCTCCCTAGTTAAACTTCCTGCTTCCACCCTGCTCTTTGGACCCATCCCTTACGGTGCAGCCCAGGGGCCCTATCACAGGGCCAAGTCTGACCCACCTGTCCCCAGCTTGAAGCCATTCAAGGTCCGCCCCATCCTGAGGACCCTGCTAAACTCTGCATCTTCCAAAAGTGTCCCCGCTGCAGCACCCTGAGCATCCTGTCCTTCCTGCCTTGTCCCTGCCGTTGCCTCAGCCAGCACGGAACCTCTCCTGCCTCCTTCACTGGTAATTGTTGTCCAGAGTTTGAAATTCTGCCCAACCTCCTGTTCGGAGAAGGCTTTCCTGATGCCCTCCAGTTAGGTAAAATCAGCAGCTCCCTACCACCCCGTAGCCCGGCATTTACCATACCATGGTGTTTGTTAAATGTGTAAAGATGTATTGTGCATCTTAAGCATGCAGGCCCATTTTCAGGACATTGAATGTGCCTCATGGATATTGCTGCTTGAGCTCATTCTGCTTACAGACTTCTCAGTAAGGGAGCGGATGGTCATTGCATACTCTGCTAGAAAGGTTGGTAACCAGAAACTTAGAGCAGGTGGGTGACTTCGTGGGGCCCCCTAATAGCAAGTGCATGCCTGAAATTCAAGCCACTTATTCTTTGTGTACTGCTCTATTGATAAAACCTCACAGTTCCTCAGTGTTTGTCCTTTGGCCTCCCTCGTCAGGAGAGGGCTGACCAGGATTCCAGCTCCGAGAGCCACTGCTATGTCCAGGAAAAGAGAGCGGCTGCTGCCTCCCTGCTTGTTGGGAAACCAGACCTGTCATGGCTCAGACTCTAAAGAGGATGTGGAAGTGGGCCCAGGACAATTACACAGCTAATTGGATCAATGGTGAGAGCCAAGCAGGATTATTCAGCTCCCAGAGTAGGTTTTCTTGCTGAAGTTATCAACACTGATCCAATTATCTGGATAATTGCTTCATCTTCACTATAAACCAGGAAGACTCCACACGAGCCAGCCTGCCCGAGCTCTTCACGCCAGGGTCGCCGCTGTGACTCCCTCACCCAGACTGCGTCTCTGTCTGAAAGGTCACGGCTGGGCTTCAAGGACACCTCTCCAACCAGACGGGGGACGATGCTCCTCCATCATCTCACACCTTCAAACCCACTTTGCCCTGGGAGCCCGCACCAGTCATCTGGCAATGTGTCTTGATACATGTATATAATGGAAATCAGAGGAATTAGCATTGCTACCTGCTCAGACATCATCATTTCTGCATGTCGATGTATTCAGAATCTGCATGCTCTCTCCCTCAGCTACTTTGAACTGTGTAAGTAGGTGCTGCCCATATGCCATTGTGCTACAGTGTTAGAGCTGCTCTCCCACCTCCAGCTGTGTTTGGTTCTCCTTCTTGACTTCTCTCTGTCCCCCCACCTTCCTGACCCCTGTGACCTCTATTCTATTCTCTGCTTCTGTGTATCAGCTTCCAGTTACAGTGAGAACATGCAGGGTCTTTCCGTCTTTTTTCACTTAACATGACGTCTTCCCATTTCATCCATGTTGCTACAAATGAAAGGATTTCATTACTTGTATTGCTAAATAATATTCTGTTGCTATGTGCACTGCATTTTTTGTTGTTTATTTCCTTTGAGATATGGATCTCACTATCTAGCTCAGGCTTACCTTGAACTTGCAGTGATCCTTCTACCTCAGCCTCCCGAGTGCTGGGATTACAGGCCTGCACCACTACACCCAGCAACAGTTTTTATTTTTTATTTTTTTTTATTTTTTTATTTTTTGGTTTTTCTCTGGAACCGGGAACCGAACTCATGACCTTGCACTTGCCAGGCAGGCGCTTTGCCACTGAGCTAAATCCCCAGCCCCAACAGTTTTTAATCTATTTTTAAAAAACTCTGAAGACCAGTTTTTAATCTATTTATCTTCTGATGGACATTTTGGTTCATGCAGTATCTTCACTGAGGTGACTAATGCTGTAATAAGTGTGGTGTGCAGGTGTCTCCTCCATATAATGATTTCATTTCCTTTGCATATATGTATACCCAGATTGCTGAGTCATATGGTAGTTATGCTTCCTGGTTTTTTGAGAAGCCTTTACCTTGTTTTCCATAGTGCACCCACCCCTGCATCCTTGCCATTTGCCTATCATCAGTGGAGAAATATCTGCACGGATCATTTGCCCATTTTAAATTCAGCAACTTGGGAGTTTTTTGCTGTGGAGTTGCTTGAGTTCCTTACATATTCAGGATATTAATGTCATGTGAAATTACTACTTTGCAAGTATCTTTCCCTTTTGTAGTTTGTCTTTAACACTGTTGGTTGTTTCCTTCCTTTGTGGTGCAGAAGCTTCTTAGTTGGATATAATCCCACTTGTTTTGCTTTTGTTTCCTGTGCTTTTGAGGTCTTACCCACCCCCTGCTCCCAATCTTTCTAAACCAGTGTCTCAAAGTTTCTTCCTCTAGTAGTTTCATAGTTCTGGGTCTTATATATTTCCTTGATTCACTGGGGAGGCAGGTTCAGTTTCATCCTTCTGCGTGTGTGTATCCAGTTTCCCCAGTACCATTTATTAAAGAGTTTGTCCTTTCTCAGCTGTATGTCCTTGGAACTTTTGTTGCCAATTGGTTGGCTACAACTATGTGGATTTTCTATTCTGTTCTTTTGGTCTCTGTGAGTGTTTATGATTACCTGTGCTGTTTTGATTACTACAGTTTTATAGTATGTTTTGGAGTTTAAAAGTTGGGTAGTATGATGTTCTGGCTTTGTTCTTTTTCTCTCCCAGCATAAATTCAACCTAGGGCCAGGTACATGTGCAGCCAGTACTCTACCATTGGGCTATGTCTCTGACCCTTTTAAATTTTATTTTCTCACTAAGGTGTCTGGGCTGGGCTTCGTTTGCAATTCTCCTGCCCCATCCTACTGAGAAGCTGGGATTATAGACATATGTCCCTTCACCCACTTTAGCTTTGTTTTTTCTAGCTTGGGATGCTTTGACTAGTCTGGGTTTTCTGTGGTTCCATATGAATTCTGTGCTTGTTTTTTTCTAGTTCTGGGAAGAATGCTATAGTCATTTTGATGGAGATTACATTGAATCTATAGATTGCTTTTGGTATATGTATACTTTAACAGTATTAATTCTTATTATTCATGGTATTATTAATGAAAATGAAGTGGTTTATGTCCTTTTATTATTTTCATTTTGTGTATGTGTCCTTTAATTATTCTTATTATAGATTATTTTACTTACTTGGCATTTACTTCTAGACATTTTTGGGGGATATTATGAATTTGCTTTTTAAATTTCCTTTTGAGCTTATTCCCGATTTGTGTACAAACTGTTACTGATTTTTGTATAGTGTCTTTATATCCTACAACTTCACTGAATTTTTTTTATCCGTTTCACCAGATTTTTGATAGAGTCTTCAGAGGTTTTTTTAACATGTAAGACCATATTATCTGCCATCAGAGATAGTTTGGTTTCTCCTTTCCAGTTTGGAGACTTCTTAGCTTTCTCCTGCGTAATTCCTCTGCCTAACACTTCAAGTTTCACATTGTATAGGAGTGGTGGATGTGGACATCTGTTTTGTTCCTGATATTAGAGGAAGTACTTGCAGTTTTCCCCAGTGTAGCAGTACATTGGTTATAGTTTTGCTATAGATGACCTTTATTGTGTTGAGAGTTCACAACATAATTTCTTAAGGGTTTTGCAGAACTTAACTCTGTCCTGACTCTGCCTTCTAAGAAGAATGACTCTTTGCAAGCACAAAGGAGGGTGGGAAGACAGTTACCTAAGATCTACAGACCCACAAGTACAGAGGCCATCTAAGTGATATCTATGTTTGTTAGTACATCGTTTTAGAGTGGTTCTGCTGTCCTTTGTGCAGCAAAATCTTGACTTCAACTAAAATATGGAAACTGCCCATATATTCCCACTTCCTTCCTGGTATCCCTGCTTCCGTGGCCCCTCCTCTCCACTTTTCACTCTTCTCTTTGGCTGTGATGAAATTCTTTATGTTCTTTTGTCTGTCGCTCAGCTTTGCTCCAGCCACTTCCGCTACCGCATCACTCCTCTCTGCCATCCTCATACCACTTTCCACATCTGCCCCATGTTCCTACCCAGCTGCTGGGCTTCGCGTTCCAGCCTAGATGTCACTCCTCCTGAAAGCTTCTCCCATCCCCTAGAGGCCCCAGGTGAGCTCACAGAGCACACTGCACTGTCCTTAACATGTGCCCATCACACTGTGTGGCCACTGCTTGGTACCCACCACCATCTGGCACCACCACCTGGGACAGGCTAGAGGACATGGTTATGCTCTAAACCCAAGCAACAACAGGCAAGCTCAAGTAACATCTACCTTTTTCATCATGTGGTAGTATAATCTATATTTTTTGGAATAAATATGAAGAGAGAAATACAGTAATATTAACTACTAACAATTATTAATATAAAAGAAAAACAACCACAAGAAATTGGGTGTCTAGTATGTATCAGACAAACACAATGAGGTTGAGATTGCGTGCATATAATTTAAATTTCCAAGCTGTACATTTAGGCAATTCATTGTTCCCAGTTTACAGAGGGTAAACTGAGATTCATAAAGGTTACATCACCAGCTCAATATCATATAACTACAAAGTATCCATCAGTTGTGACTTCAAAGCACAGGCTTTTTCATATCTAATGCACCGAGTCTTTAAGAAACAAATGAGAATACACGAATCAACCCATCGGGGGCATTAAACCCAGAGATAGTGTGTTCTTTGCTATTGAACTGGCTACATAAGTCTACCTGCTAACTTTTGATTCCAAAGCCCATACCTTTTCCACATTGAGCAACTCTTGACTGGTCCCTGTAAATGCAGGGGTAGAAGACAAGGTCTGTGCCCTGAGAGAGCTCCCAGGCAAGTAGAGAAATGTCAGGCAAACAGACAACTGCAACATAGACCCTTAGGTGTACATAAGGGGGAGCAATGGGCTGGAGAGAGGCCACCAGACCACTCTGTGCTCTCCCGGAGCCCTCGCCTGCCCAGCGCCTGGGTGCACACAGTCCTTAGTGGTTGGGTTGGCAGCAGCCCCGTGCCTGGCTCACCCTGATCCTCTCCGCTTGCACTGTAGACACAGATTCTTGCTCAAGCCCTCAGTTCCATAGGGAACTGTGCACCTTCTCCGACAAGGAAGTGGAAGACTGTGTTACCACCAGGCCATGTAGAAGTCAAGTGCGATGTGCAGGCTTCTTGTGTCACTGGCAGGTAGGCGGCACAGACGGGTGGGGGACATAGAGGCTTTCACAGGAGATAAGGGCATGTGATGACAGAGGGATGAGCAGTGAGTAGTGCACATCAGCCTCATGGGACACACTGGGGCTCCTCCAGTCTCTGACCTCCTTTTATATGTATTAGTCCACGAAAAGTTCCTGCAACATAGCAGCATTATTATCCCCTCCTGACAACCTGAGAAACTGAGACTTGGAGAGGTTACTTATCCAAGATCACATGGCAGGGACATGGAACAGCTGCCCTTAGAAATTCTGGCATTCCGTTTACATGCACTGACATCAAAAGTATATGTTTCAGAATCAAAACTCCTGGGTCAGGGCTTACTTTGATTTTGTAATCTAAGGGAAATCACCTAACTTCCTGCATTTTGGTTCCCTTGATTTTCAACCAAGGATGATGTTAATACATTACAAATTTGTTATAAGCATCAAGTTATATCATAGCTCTTGGTAAATTGTGAGCTCTGCTAGCTCAGAGCCCTGGGGTCACCTGTTTAACTGGGTGATTAAATCACTTATGTCTGAGAAGTCTCTGGAGAGATACTCCCTATCATTCGTGTTTCTGCATCACCAAGTGATGCATGACATAGTTAGCAAACTTTATTAGTTATCAGAATAAAGGAAAAAATAAGCACAGATTGACAGAAGGGAGGTAGGAGCACACAAAAGAATAATTATCCACTGCAGAACCATGTAAACAGTTGTTTTACCAAATCATCTGTTCAGCTAATCCAAATAAATATATGTCTCTCTGTTTCTCCAAGTCTCTGGCCAAAACTAAGTGTACTTTGACTAAATTGTCTAGATGGGAGTTGCAGCTCTCCATATTCACTGCACCCATGTGGATTTGCTTCAAGATCTTTCAAAAAAGAGATGGGGGTTCATAGAGCAGTTTCTAGGGCTATTGCAAATGCAAAATGCCATCCAATAAATCTGAGAGACTTTTTTACAGTGTATCCATGGACTCATAATGGCCAGTGTTCCATGATTCTGGCCAGAGCCGTAGTGGTTATTCATGCAAGCTTTAGTTTAAATGCCTTGTAAGAAACTTCTGAAGACCAGCTCATTATTTTTCCACTGTTAAAATCCCAAGAACATTGCTTTAAAATGACCGATACATCTAGGGAGACAGAGCTACTCATTGTATGGGCTTTATCCCCTAACAGCTTGCAAATAAGAAAGGAAGTCAGGTCAGTGGGGAAAAAAAAGATTAGAGGAGGGCAAAAGTGAGGTATGTAATTTTTCACAGTCCAAATAGCTATGGTGCTGAAGGCAGTGTGATTAGACAGTTACAGGTTCCAAACTAACCTGGCTGCAAATGTTCCCTTGCACTGAGCCTTTGGCCCACAGAAACAGTAGCAGCTCAAGCCTTGCTATGAGTCAGTGCTATTTCACCTGCTCATTCACATTCTCTGCAATGTTATCAGGTAGCTGCGATGGCCTCTCCATTCTCGAGAGGAACAAATTGAGGCAGGGAGGTTTGGTGACCCATGCATGGGGGCTCGGCCAGTGTTGCTTCCCGGATTCACCAAACCTCCCTCTTGCCAGTCCCAGGAAGAGAAGCTCCATGGCCCCTGCCTGCACACTTGGTCCTTGCTTCTCAGGTTCTTTTCTTTGCTCCCCAATTCCTCTTCCTGAATGGCTCCAAATAATCTTCCCTTTGTGCTTTTAGGGATATAATCCTGGATTCTTTTGGAGTGATGTGGCAAGAGGGGAATAAACTGTTAGTGCCACTGTCACTCTGCCCTGATACACGAGGACTAATCAAACCAACATGAAAGGCCAGCAGTACCTCTGGCACCTAATGGTGCTTCTGCTATGATAGTTTCTCTCTCAAGAGCCTCGTGGCCTGCAGCTCTTTTTCCACCCCAGGGAGGTGATAAACCACAGACTTCTTTGCTGTGGGCAAAATGACTGGAGACCAGTCCAATGAGGCAAATGGTAGAAGTGTTTATAAAAAATGCCAGCATGAAATGAAGCACTACTGGGCAATTGGCCATCTGGCCAGTGGGTAAGCTACTGCACTCTTGTTGTGTGGATGGAAAAGAACAAGATGAAATGGAATCCTGGAGAGCAGAGCAGGAGTGGGTTACTCTGCTCCTTTTTTGGTAGAAAGGGTTGTACTGTAAGTGGGTGCCCCTCACTGCTCTCTGAGGACAGTTCCAAGTGGCCACAGGACAGTTGGCTGTGGACATCGGGACAGAGCTGTGCAAGGAAACCATGGAGGCTGCTCCCAGGTCCGGGATGAATCTTTATCTCAGCACTGATGATGTGATGCCAGGAGCTCGCAAAGCACTTCCCCTAGAGGCCTATTGACGACTTGCCCTTAAATTGTATCTCGGGTCTACTTGTGCTCTGTGGCAGGCTATGAGGGCAGCTACTGCTATTCCCTGGCTGCGTGACCTCTGAGCACACTTAGATATTCAGACTCTCAATTTCTTTACCTGGGAGGTAGGGATCATAATAACTAGTTTATAAGGTGGTTCTGAGAAAGCCCCTCTACCCCTGTGTAAGATTCTGCGTCTCTAAGAGAGTAAGAGAGGCTGCTAAGTGGTGAGGGGAGGGTGGACTTCCAAGGCATGCTCTGATCAGTCTGTGTTTTGACCTGCTGGAGATCTCTAAGTTGATGAGGTCACAGGAGCAAGGTTAGAAGGGCCCAAACTGGCCTAGCATCCACCTTACCTTCCAGCTACTTTCTGCAGCTTCTCAGCCTGCAGGTGGCGGAGTGAAACCCTCCCCTCACAAGCATTAAAAATCATCATTACTGCAAAGTGGGTGTGGTATTGCAAACCTGTAATCCCAGCCCTCTGGGAGGCTGAGGCAAGAGAATCACAAATTCCAGCACAGCCTAGGCAACTTAGCAACTTAGAGAGACCCTGTCTTGAAATAAAAAAAAAAAGAGCTAGAGATGTAGCTCTGTGGGAAGGCTTTGGATTCAATCCCTAACACTGTGAAGAAAACTTATCATCACCAAGTTATGAAGCCTGGAGAGGAGAACAGTGACCCTGAATGGAGTTCACCTCCACTCTAATGGAACTGCAGATCTCAGAGAAAGACTCTTTGCATAGGTAGAAGGGCTTTCTCAGAACCACCTTATGAGCTAGTTATTATGATCTCTACCTCCCAGATAAGGAAACCAAGAGCCTGAATATCTAAGTGAGCTCAGAGGTCACACAGCCACAGAAGAGCAACAGCCAAACTTGCAGTCAGCAGTGGGGTGCAAGTAGACCTGGGGAGGCCCTCACCCTAGGAGGAGCAGAGCAGCAGGAGGAACTGAGGGAAACGAGCAGCTAGGGCCTAGGGTGTGTGGTGAGTCAAGAGTGGGCCGTGGTGAGGCTGGGAAGCTGGCTGGAGCCAGACACCAAGGGCCGTGTGTGGAGAGCCACAGGGTTTCTGCTTTCACCCAGTAGGGGCTGCGGCACAAAGTCCTCACCATGTCACCATCGCCATGTCCACCTCACAGGATAAATTTGTTCACCAACAGTTTGGAGGGCCTGGTCTGGATCACAGGAACCACGCTGGTGGGCGCTCCCCCCACTCCACCCTGCACACGAGGTACGGGAAGCCGTATAATGTGGAAGGCTACACCCCACAGGTAAGGAACATCTGGGAGCCACAGCGGGGCAGGGAGAGACACTAGATGAGGACCTGCAGCCTCCTATGGGGTGACTTTGGACACATCATTCTTCTCTTTAGACTTCATGTCTTCTTGTGTACTATGGGTGGTCCATTCCCATAGACCTTGTGCAGAGGAGGATGGCTTTCCCAAGTGACAGGAGTAGGAGTTGCAGCAGCAGGAGTAGTACCAACAGGAACATCAACAGCCACCCTGAAGACAGAAGTACAGTTTAGGGTTCGGAGTTGCACAGGCCAATCACTCATCCTCCTGCTATCTGTGGGATCCCAAATGCTCTCAGCTTCTGCTTCTCTATCTTTAAGTTGGGGGCCATAACAGTTCTACCCAAGGGAGAGTAGATCACTAGTGGGCTCAGCACAGCTCTTGGTTTAATGAGTCCTTGTCCAGCTGACTGTTCTTGTTACCATTATTGCCAAGTACCTGCCTATCAAACCAGGCATTGTCCTAAGCATTTCAGCTGAAAAGTGTAGCACCATTGTCAGCCTGTGCTGTGATCATGCACACGCTCAGAAGCACATCTCACAGAGTGGGATTTAGAAGTGATTGTGTTACTGTGTTACACACACACATTTGCCACCAGATAAGGGTTCAGCTTTACTTCAGGCTAAGCTCTTTTCCCAATCCAGACCTCTGTTTCCTCACCTATCAATGAGGTGGCTAGACTAGACCGTCCTGACAACAGTCTCTGGGTCCAAAGTGCACGGCTCTCAAGGCTGGGCACTACCTCCCTTCTCCTTGCCCTCTCCCTGCCCCCCCAACCCCCCATGATTATTGGCCAATAAAAGCACAAAAGCAGCACATGGACCAGGCACATCCTCCATCACGCAGCGGGCCTCCAACTCCAAGCAACCGCGCCTCTGCTAGACTGAAGTATCCTCAGCCAGGCTCAGGTTCCTCCCTTCATAGCCACCTGTCCTTGAGTGCTGCCCCACCCTGAGTGCTGCCCTACTAGTGCAGGACTAATAGGAGGGACAGTTGCCATCACCTCACTCATGGAGAAGCTGAGGTGTAGAGAGGCTAAATGGTAGTCCAAAGTCACCCACCTAGAGAAAGGCAGTGAGACGGCACCTCCCAGAGACCTCACTTCAGACCTCACCTGCAGGCTGCTGCTCATTTTCAGCTGCCAAGGCCTTGTCCCCTCCTGCAGGACTTACAGGTATCTGGAAGCCAATGGGAGTAGGGTAGAGATGACTCCAGTCTGATCACTCCTGGGCCACCAAGGCATTCCCCTCTGCACAAGATGTTACACACAGGTTTTCAAACAAACAGCTCTCCTAAGTTCTCCAGGATGCACTCTCTTGCTTTGTCCCCCAATTCCCCTGCTGCTGCCTTTGACCAGATCCTCATCACCTGTCACCCGAAACACTCATACTGCCTCTCACTGGCTTGTCTGTCTCTGAACTCAGCCCTGCCTGTCCAACCCTCATGTGGCTCCAGAATGATCGCCCAAGCCTCAGCTGCCTCCTCTGTTGGGTCATCCTTGCATAAGCCCACATGTCAGAGCACATAATTGAAAGCCTCGGTGACCTCTCACAATCCCTATCGATTTCCCTCACTCACTCTTGCATCTTCTGATTCAATCACAAAAGCACCATTGTGCCTCCTGGAACACATCCTGCTCTTTCTGACCTCCCTGGCTCTGTGGAAGCCAAACTCAAAATATCCCCAGCATCTCCACTAGCTGAAATCCAAGTTCCAGCACAGCACAAGTGGGTCCATCTCCCCTATTGAATCAGGAGCCCTGCTTTTTCTGTGTTCAGAGCATCTAGTCCAGCTCTAGTACACGGTAGGAATACAGTGTATGTCTTCTGAACTGACTTGAGTCAAGGGAAATGAAAAACATCTTATCTTCTCTTCCTTCAGACCCAAGACAAATACGAATTCATACTAATGGAATATGAATCATATACAGATTTCGGACACAGTGTCATAGAGAAAACAACTAGCAAGTCTAGCCTCAGCTTTGCTTTTAAAATACCTAATGTATTTGAAGTTAGCACCAGCAAGGCGACTGATAGAGGCAAGCACTGTATTAGCAAAACCAAATGATTCTCGTGTGCCTGAAGTAACCCTGTGTTGTTTTTACATTTGTGTGTATTCTTTTGACATTTCATGCTCACAAATGTGTCTGTACCCCACATGACTCCCAGCACTAACACCAATGACATTTCTGTTATCTTGAAAATCTTTCTGTTAAAAAATAGCTTGGTTTTATATTACCTTAATTTTTACAGAGTCCAAGCAAAGATGGTAGTTCATTATCATTTCCGCCATTTTTAATAAGCACTTTCCTTTGGTTTCCAATAAGCTTAAGGTGTCAGAACAAAACATCTCTGGAGTTTTTTTAACCCACTCCAATTTGACTTCTGTCCCAGACACACGTCTGGGATGTCACCCATGACTTGTTTGACTTCTCAGGGCATTTGCTGAGCTGCACATTTCTTCTCCCTCTCTGTCTCTCTCTCTCTCTGCTTCTCCTCCTTCACTGATTTCCTTCTTGAGTCAATGTCCATGCCATTCTTATTTAAGATTTGGCTGTCATCTTTCCTGCTTACTCTACCATTGCCCTGTGACTCTTCTACGTGCCTGTCAGCTCAGGGACCAGCCAGAGCCATCAGTGCTGAGTCTCACCTTCTTGCCCATCTCCTGACCTGCCCTACTCACCCTGAGGAGCGCCTCATCTGAAGTTCTCACCCACATGCAGAAGAAGCTTTCTCCCCCTAAATCTTCAATCTATATTAAAGACATTTCCTCTTCTATTTTTCCAGGCTTTAGATTCATATTTGGCTCTCATTTGTGCTCCATTTCATTTTGGTCACTGTTATGGCTTGTGTCTGGATGTCCCCCCAGATGTGGTCATGGGGGGCAGGCTTTTCAGAGGTGGCTGAACCTAGAGTTTGTGAATGGTTCATTGTGTAGTGCTGGGGTTGAGGGTTGTGAGCGCTAAACCTGCCCCAGGGTGGTCAGCCTGCTTGTAACCAAAAATAGGCTCACTCCTCCCTATTGCTCTTGTGGGTATTGATACCTTTCACCGCCATGAATGGTTGCCCCCCTGCTATGCTACCTTGCCTTGGTGCCAGATAATTATAGACTGAAACCTCCACAAACTGTGAGCTAAATAAAACTTTCTGCCCTGAATTTTGGGTGTCAGGTATTTCGTTTCAGCAATGAGAGAAAAGTAACTAAAATAGTCACTAAATGCTTCAGTATTAGTATTTGATTTTTTATCCTAAATCCTGTTTCATCTTAGACAGCTCAGGCCTTTTGCCCTTTGTCCCTCCCAACCAGCTTCTCTGTCTCCCAACTTGCCTTTCGCCTATGTGTGCCACTGGAGAGGTGTTTCTGTGATACCAGTCCAGTCACACCATCTGCTCCTGGTACTCAGGTCAAGGATGAAACTGGTGCTCCAGTGGGAGAGGAGAAATGAGTGGGAAGCTATGATGTTGGGGAAATCTGAGGAGTCCCGGATTCCAGGGGAAGAAGCTGCATTTTATTCCCTAGCCAATGGGAGTTTTCAACACAGGAGTGAAAACTAATGTGAAAACTAATCAGAGGGGGAAGAGATGAAGACTGAAAGTCTGCAATGATCCTCATGAGAAAAAGGAACCAGAGAGGGGTCCAGAAAGGTCCTTGCTGCCAAAGATGAGCCAGCAGGAAATGAGTGGTCGACAGAACCTGGATGAAAGCCATCTTTGAGTCTCTTTCTCCATCTTCTAGGCTGTGAGCTCCTTGGGAATAGAGGCTCTTTTTTTCTTTATCTTTAGCCAAGGATGGCCCTTGGGAGGTACTGGGACAGAGCTGTGGTCACAAAGGACAGGATTGACTGAAAGGAAGGAGGACAGGGGTGCCATGTGTTTGCTTTCTCGTCCTTTCCTTCCCTCCTCCCACATGCCAAGTTCTCCTTAATGCTAACATTGTGCCAGGCGCTGCACCAGACTAGAGACCTGAAGACACATATCACGTGATTCCTTTTTTCCACTGAAACTTATTTTATTGTTTTTAAAATTGTTCACGTTCATGGAGTACAATGTGATGATTCAACACATATACACAGGTATAACGATCAAGTTGAAACAATTGGCATTTCCATCTCCTTGTGTTTATCACTTCTTTGTGTTGAGTAACTTCAAACTCCTCTCCCTAGCTTGCTATAAAATCTATACTAAATTGTTCTTGCCTTCATGTTCACAGTCTCATAGGGGAGGTAAGCATGTGAGTGGATTTGCCATTCTTAATTATTTCTTTCAGTTGTAACACAGCATGCTGTGTGCTATAAAGTAAACTGAAGTAGGGTGGAGTTCAATCTTAGGGCCAGGGATTTAACTCAGTGGTACAGCACCTGCCTGACAAGAGTGAGGTCCTGAGTTCAATTCTCAGTACCAAAAAAGAAAAGGAAAGAAAGGAAAGGAAAGGAAAGGAAAGGAAAGGAAAGGAAAGGAAAGGAAAGGAAAGGAAGAGAAAGGAAAAGAGTGTGCATCTGGGAAAGGTGGGGAGAGTATCCAGGAGGCAGTGGCTAAGTAGGGATTTGAAAGGTAAGTAGAGTGTGAGCACAGCAAAAAAGAAAGGGAGAACATTTCAGGCAGAAGGAGAATCTTGTGTACAATGTGTCATGAAAGGAAAAGCAGGTGTGAGGAGTGGTGCAAAGCTGCCTGAGCAATGACATGCAGTGTGGTTGGTGAGAAATTTCAGGCCTGCGGAGGGATACATCAATGCTATAGACACTGAAGCCAGTGAGGCTACTGAGGGAATGGAGGTTGTGAAGGGCATATATTCAAAGTAAGTGAATTGATTTTATTCTGGAAGCAATAGTGAACCAGTGTAGGGTTTTAAGTCTAAGGAAGCATCATCATAATATTATCAGAGTGTCGGCTATTGACTCTTATTGGGGTAGTGGAAGCACGTTATAGAGAAATGGGAGATCAGTAGGGCAGCCTGTCTAATGGTGTGTCAACCTAAATAACAGTCAGCGATAGATTTTCCAAAAATAGCAGCACCTCCTTGGGAATAACACACCATGGCGATAGCAGTGTGCCCTCCATAATAAACTATCTGAGTAGTCAAAGGTGTTAAGCAAGGGAAGTGTTTCAAGGCAACAGCGAGGAGGATTACATAAGATATTTTTAAACAAAAATCCTTGGCCGCTAGAACTGTTAACATGGCTGGCATCAGTTCAAAGCTGAACAGACAGTCACTAGATGAATGTCCTTAAAGGAATACTTCTTGTGTAAAGCAGTGGTGGCCTTTGTGCAAGGTTGTTATTCTGGCAGTCTTGGGACAGTCGCCAGTACTAGGTGAGCATACAGTAGGATTCCTCCTTTCATAGCCTCCTAGCTTTATTTTTATTTGCTAATTTTTTGCTTAGTGTCTACACAATCAATCCCATTTTGTTTCTGACAGCTTTTATAAACCCAAGACCCTAAACAGTGATTGCAAACCTTTTTGGTACAGGAACTGGTTTCATGGAAGAAAATATTCCATGGACTTGAGGATGGGGGAGTGGTTTAGAGATGATTCAAAGCAGCACACAGCTCAGATCCCTCCCATATGCAGTTCATGGTAGGGTTTACTCTCCTGTGAGAATCTGATGCCACTGCTGATCTCAGAGGAGGTACAGGAGCTCAGGCAGGAATTCAAGCTATGGGGAGTGGCTTTAAAAGCAGATGTCATTTCTGTGGCTTGAATTCACCTCTTGTTGTGCAGCCTGGTCCTAACGGGCCATGCACTGGTATCAATCTGTGGCCCAGGGGTTGAGAATCCCTGACCTAAAAGATTTGGAAAAGTCATAAGCAGAGTCCCACGTGACCACTTAGACAGGGTAGGACAGAAGAAGGAGTCACAAATCACTGGGATGGGTTTGAATGGTGGGAAGCAAGCCAGGAAGCAAAACAGGGACCTGGTGAGAAGCTCACAAATGGTTTTGGTTTTTTGTTTTCCGGTACCGGGAATCGAACTCACGACGTTGCGCTTGCCAGGCAGGTGCTGTGCCGTTGAGCTAAACCCCCAGCCCACCCACAAATGGTTGTACAGAGCTGAAAGTTTAGAAATGGAATAGAGTGTACCTCATAAACACTTCTACTTTCTCCTTTTCCTCTTCCTACTCCCCAGTATGGGGCCCTTCCTCCCATTGTAATACCCACTAAATACTTGTATTTCACCAGGTATCACCAAATTTCAGTCTATCCCATATGTCAGGGAGACACTAAACCTTTGTTGTAAAGGACCAGTGTTGTAGTCAGAGTTTGCAAGGGGAATAATTTAATACAGGTCACATAATCTATAAGATTATTTTATTATAGTCACCCAAACAGTCAAATACAAAGAGAGTACAAATCTGTCCACACACCCAAAGAATCTAGCTGAGGGCCTAGAGCCATGGCAATGTCCTGCATGTGTCCAGCTGAAGACCTAGAGTCCAAGTGGAGGCCTGGACAATGCTAATGTCTCATGCAGGCCTGTTTCACAGATCTGCACTGGGAAGGCCCAAAGGTCAGTAGTGGAGGCTAGAAAGTCTGTGCCAGTGGAATGAAGGATCTGTGCTAGCAGGCTAAGGGATCTGCACTGGAGCCAGGAAGCAATGCTCAAAATTAGAACCAGAGCTCCCGTGAAAAGTACCACAGCCATCCTCAGCAACATTAAAGTCCCAAGATCCTCTGACAATGAGAACAGCCGAGTCCATATCAGGAAAGCCAGCATCACAAGCTCTTCCAGGAGAAACAACAGCCCCAGGAGAACCAATAGCTCCCTAACAGCACCTCTTTTTCTTCTTTAGTTCTCCTTTTTATGCTGCCGGCAACAATCTTGAAGTGGGCCTTCCATACCCAGCACCATACTGATTCAGTTCAACTGGGTGTTACAAGTTGACTCCCAGTTGTCAATCTTCCACAACCAGATAGTAAATATTTTAGGCTTGGCAGGACCATAGGATATCTATTACAACTCCTCAACCCTGTCATCACAGTGTGACATAAGCAGTTTACATTTGCAGACAATATAGAAATGAAGGCACATGGCTGTGTGTAAATAAAACTTTATTTACAAAATCATGCAGTGGCTTTGGTGTGCAGACAGCAGTATTCTGACCCTGCCACACACTACCATATCAAGCTATCTTGAAGGACCACTTTTAGTTTTACTTGAGTGGCTTTTCTTCACAGAGTTTAAAAACAGAAGCAAATAGGATAGAATTGGAGGCAAGCAAAGCTGGCTCCCATCAGAGCAGACCCTGGACCCCTTGGCCCACCCTTCCTGTTTCTCTCTGCCCTGTGCAGTACTTGCTGTAGTAAGGAAGGGAATTCAAGCAAGCTCGTCTATGCAGAAAAGGACATTGTAATGCTTACGGGAATTGAAAGCTTGTCAAGGAGACTGTCTTCCTGCAGATATCCTAAAGGAATCATAAGAGCGATGACCCTGGGCCAAGAACATGACATGATTTTTGTGAGGTTCATCTTCTCTTTCCATATTCCTAACTTTAAAGTTCTGGTTTTCCCACGTTGGTATTTCATGTAGAAAAGCATGTTTCTGCATGCATGCTCTGACCTTGATGTGGCACATTACAAGCTAAAGCCGAGAAACCTCATGCTAAATTATGAGTTCTTCCAGAGAATCAGGTGGCTGCCCCTGGAATGCAGCCACAGGGAGTATAAAGATCCCTTCCATGACTTCAGCACCCACTGAATCACAGAGGCCATGCTTGGGGGTGTTTATGAGTACACACTTTCATCAGAACCAAGAGGCCTTGGAGCAAGAAGGTAACCAGCTAAGGGACATGCTTTCCTGTTGTGGTGAGTCTCATCCTGCTGTTGGAGGAAGAATTTTAAGTCATGCTTCTGGTTTTCCATCCACCTACCTGCCTATGCCTTCACAGCTGAAGTTACAGAAACCTCCTCCTTCTCAGGCAAAAACCTCAGTGCTCCCAGACTCATCCTCTATCTGGGCCACCTCTGCTAACTCTGCCTGTCCAGCCCCATCCTGGGCCACACCTTCAAGTGCTTTCAACAAGCAGCTGGCACCTAACACACACATCTTCCTGGATCTCGTCCAGTAATGTATGTTAAAATGTCTCTTTGATAACTCCATACCAATGTCAAATACATACCACAAACTTAATATACTCTACAAAGAGAAGTTTTAGTTTGTTTTTTTCAAATATGATTCTTCTATATCATCCACAACTCAGAAATAGTTCCATCATACACATAGTGGCTCAAACCAAAACCCTAAGAATCTCAATGATTTTTCTTTCCTTCCAAACTCTCAGTGAGTTCCATCAGTTTTCCTTCCAAATATTAGTGGCCCTAGTGTTAGGGCCACTTATCCTATGACCACTGATTCCCACTCTAAATTTACTGTGAATATGAGTTACAGAGGATGTAGTTTCTGATTAGGTAGGTTTGTGAGAGACTCAAAATGCTGCATTTCTGACACCAATGCAGGAGCCACACTGAATCCTGGACAGCTTCAGGAGCCTCAGAGAGCCACCCTCTAAATCCCCACATGGACACAACAGCCACACTGAGCCCAGGGGAGGTTTGGGAGAGTTGGTGACCACACCCCACCCCACCCCACCATCATGGGAGACACAGTGAGCCACAAGAATCCTTGGGATCTTTGAAAATGACAAAACAAAGGAGTAAAATGCAATCTCAGACCTCCACCACACCCAGAACAAGCACAGGAGATACTGACATAGGAAAGCTTAAAGTCATACACCTGAAATTTCTGAAATGATATCAACTGAAGTAAAGAAACAACTCCATCAGGCTACAGAAGAAATCAGATAAGAAATAATCTCTCAAGTAAAGAAGAAATGACAACAATAATGAAAGAGTTGCTCAGCACATATAAGGAAGATATAAATAAAAATTAGAGGAGCATAGAAAAATGATAGAAACCTTGAATGAACAGTACAGGACAGAATTAGAATGCATGATACAGTTTCAAACAGATATCCAGGAAATTAAAAATTCTACTGAAAGCTGGCAAAACCCCTTGAATGAAGCTGAAGATAGACTTTATTATCAATTCAGACCTTGAAGACAGCATTGCAGCTAATGATCACAAAAGACCTCATAAATAACAAGGAACCAGTTAGTAACAATTCAACAGCTGCAAAATGATGTAAAGACTAATAGGTATCAATGAAACAGTAGGCATCAACACAAATGATATAAAAGGATTATTTGCAGAAGTAATGGCAGAAAATTTCCCAAGCATGGAAACAATCTGAGATACAGTTAAGTGAGGCATATAGAACTTCAACTAGCCATAACAAAAATAAATCTACACCTAGACATATAATAATCAAGATCCCAGAAATTCAGCAAAAGAACAGAATATTAAAAGTTGTTAGAGAAAATAAAACCAAATCACCTATAAAGGAATGCCCATCAGAATGACGGCAGATTTCTCAACACAAACCACCAAGTCAAGAAGAGCTTGGAGTGAAGTATTTCAGGTCCTGAAAGAAAACATCTTCCAATCAAGACTGATCTGCACTGCAAAGCTATCCTTCAAAATTAATGGAGAAATAAAATATTTCCATGACAAAGAACAGAAGAAATTCAGAAGTGCCAAACCAACCCTACAAAGAGTACTAAAAGATATTCTCAAAACAGATAAAAATGACCACAGTTTCAAGAACAACAATAGAAAGAAACCACTAAGCAGAGCAAGCAATTAAACAGAGGGAAAAAGTAGGGAACCAACATCAGGAAAATAACATGACAAAGATAAGCCAATACAAATCAGTTATAAACATTAATGTAAAAGGCCTCAATTTACCAATTAAAAGAAACAGATTGGCAGAGTGGATCAAGAAACAAAATACAACACTATGCTGTATGCAAGAAACACATTTAACTCAAAAGGAAATTTATAGACTGAAAGTCAAAGGATGGAAAACAATACTCCCTACAACACGAACCCAGAAAAAAACAGGGGTAGCTATTCTGTTTGCAAACGATGTGAACTTCAATAATCAAAAGAGATAACAAAGGTCACTACATATTCATCAGGGGGAAAATGCAAGAGGAAGAGATAACAATCATAAACATTATACACCAAATACAGGAGCACCCAGCCATATCAGACAAATTTTAACAGACATGAAAAATCAAATAAGCAGTAACACCATCATAACGGGATTTTAACACTCCATTGTCACAAAGAGATAGATCAACTCGGAAAAAAATCAGCGAAGAAATAACAGAACTCAACCAAACTTGTGAACAAATGGACTTAGTAGACCTTTACAGAATGTTCCACCCAAAAACATCAGAATACACATTCTTCTCAGCTGCACATATGATGGTCTCTAAAATAAACCATATGCTAGTGCATAGAGCATGTTTAAGTAAATTCAAAGGAATTGAGATTATCTCATGCATACTATCAGACCATAATGCAATGAAACTGGAAATAATTGACAAAAGAAATTACCAAAAATCCCATATAAACACATAGAAATTAAATAACACCCTCCTGAACAATCATTGGGTCACAGACGAAATTAAAGAAGAAATTAAACAATATTTACTATCAGACAAAAATGCAGATATAATTTACCAGAACCTGTGAGATGCACTCCTCAGAAGGGAATTTATAGTGGTGAACTCCCACATCAGGAAAACAGAACAAGCACAAATAAACAATGTTATGCTGCACCTCTTGCTTCTAGAAAAAGAAGAGCAAATAAAACCTGAAGCTCAAAGAAGGTAGGAAAATATAAAGATCAGAGCAGAAATTAACACAGTGGAGATTAAGAAAAGAATATAAAGAATTAATGAATCAAACAGTTGGTTCTTTGAAAAAATAAATAAAATTCATAAACCCCTAGCAACCTTATCAAAAAAAGGAAAGAAAAAACTCAAATTCGTGCAATAAGGAATAAGGAGAATGAAATCACTACAGATCCTGTAGAAATTCAGAAGATCATCAATATTTACTTCAAAAATCTTTACTGTCATAGGATGGAAAATACAGAAGAAATGGACAGATTTCTAGATACATGTGAATTACCAAGGCTGAATCAAAAAGATATAAAAATTCTGAATAATGCAATATCAGCCTACAAAATTGAAAATGTAGTAAAAAACTTAAGCAGAGAGCATGTAATACCAATTCTTCCCAAACTCATTAATGAAATTTAAAGGGAAGCAATTCTCCCTAACTCATTCCTGGAGGCAAGTATTGCCCTGGTACCAAAACCAGAGAGAGATGTTGCTGCTGCTTGTTTGTAGACTACACTGTCAGAAACAAGGTCCCAGATTATTTCCATAGTCTTCAAGCTAATATTCAACCCTCAAGCCTTAGAATTCATCATGCAGATATCCCAGGTTTTTATGGCCAGCATCAACACTCAGATCAGATGTGAGGCCTACGCTCCAGGCCAGTATTCTGCCTCCTACCCAGCACTTGTCAGGCACTATGATTCACTGCAGGTCACACAGTTTACAGGGACAGAGCCAGGTCTTTACAGGCCCAATACTCATGTAGGAGAACATGGCATATACTATACATTTGTGTCAGTGTGACCTCAGTCTCATCATGATCAGGGATACCTTTCTCCATAACAAGCATTTGAAAAGTGCTCCCTGTAGGCAAGTCAGAGAAGGCAGGCAGGCTGCAGCTGTGCTGTCCTCACTGGTCAGACCTACAAAGAGACCTAGGGAGGAGTCATCCTTTTAGAGTATTACTGAGCATTTCCCCTTCAGGAAGGCAGCAAGCATGCTGGGAGGAGGCTAAAACAGGAAGATGACCCTGATCTCTATAAGTTCCTTACTCTGGTACTACAGCAGCCTGTACTTCTTGTCATCAGGCTGGGGACCCATTTATTTCAACCCAAGTCCCTGGGACAGCCAGGAAGAGTTAGGCCTCTAGAGCCAACCACTGGAAAGGGGACAGAGTGAATTACTGTAGAGGTCACAGACCTCTTTTCTTGCTTACTTCAGGTTATTCCCTTAATGACATTCCCAACTGTGCCAAATATGATTACCGAATTGGTGCTGACATTGAGGGGTCTATGCCACACTGGGTGTGTCAGAAGACAAATGTAGGAACATTCTGAATGAAATAAATGGTGAGAGATGGGACCATGTGTCTGCCGTGTTTGTACTCACTCCCTCTGTAATGCTCCTGGTCCCTGTTTTCCTTTAAACTAGGCACAGGACATGTCGAGACATTTCAATTAAAATTATAATCCAGCAAATAAAAACCCACCGAGCTCCTACCGTGTGCTGAGAATACAGAAATGAATCTGTTGCCTTGCTGTCCTCACTGTGCCCACATGCAGTAGATGAGCAATGGAAGAAGCAATAGTTTTCTAGCTGGAACCCCAGGGAGGACTTCCTGGAGGACAAAGTCTGGGAATTATAATTTGAGGACTAAAGTGTGAGGGTCATTTATAAGCAGGAAGAATGACCTAACAGTATCATTCTGCTTAGGAATTGAGTTGGCCTGGCTGGAAGGGGGATGCTGGGGTGGGAGGCAGGAGGAAGAAAGTAGCCTCCTGAAGTAAGAGGTGATAGGGAGACAAGGAAGCAGGCAAAGCTACAGGTCAGATAGCAGAGTCCAAATGGCAGGAAAGGCCAGACCTGAAGTGGAGATTGAACCAGCTGGGCAATAGAGCGAGGTGTCTGGGAGAGGGAAACTTGGAAGCAATCCAGGGAATTGGGAATCACACAAGAAAGCAAAGTAGAAAGGCAGTTGATCAGCAGTGCTCTGGTCCCTAGCTCTTTGTGCTTCGTGGAGCTGTCTTCAGCTGCTCTACCTGCTAGGCTGGTGCCTGGGTTTACTTACGAAGAGTCCCACAGTTGAAAGGAAACACAGTAAAACGGCCACAGAAACTAACTGCTTGTTATGGCTTATACCTAGATATCCCCTCAAAACCTCATGTGGTCATAGGTGGAGCTTTTCAATGGTGACTGGATCTAGGATGTGTGATCCTGGAATTAAGGATGTGATACTGGGATAGAGTCTTGTTGCAATGCTAAGATATGAGTGGATATGAGTGCTACCTGCCTGAAGAGCAGACAGCCTGGATAGACTTTAAGGGACAGAAAGAGGACTGCTGGAGTCACTCATCACTTGCTGCTTGCTGCTTTTGCTGCCTTCTGCCTGCCATGAACTCTTTCTTCTCTGCAATGCCCCTCTCCCATGACACCCCGCATTGGAGGCAGCTAACTATGGACTGAACTCTGCACAAACTGTGAGCAAAATAAGCCTTTGTCCTTTAACTTTGGGTGTCAGTTATTTTGTCTCAGCAAGAAGAAAAGTAACGAAGACACTCCTACTCTGTAGCAACCTCTTACACTTGAGGCTGACTTGTCCATATTTTTTGTTTGCTCTTTGTGGTGAGCTGAGTGCACAAAACATAGATCCTCTTTAAAGACTTGTGAAATAACCCTCCACCCAGCTCGCTAAATACAACACTGCTCGGCAGCACCCTTCAGCTGCTGCTGATCACACCCTCCCCCTTTTTGAGACAATCTGTAACTGTCCCTGCTTCTATGTGAAATATATCCCTTTCTGTCTCTAGAGTTTTATCACCTATATGTATCACTTACCAATATGCCTTTGTGGTGATCTTTTTTCTAACTGTATGTGGGTAGAATGTAATTTTTTTCTGCTCCTACATTTTTCATTCTACATCATGTTTTCTCATATATCCATAGTTAATTTCTTTCCATTGCTATGCAATCTTTTATTGTGTGAATATGCCACCTTATCTTTGTTCACCTATTGATGGTCATTGGGGTTATTTCCTCTATCAAGTAATTATAATCAATTCTCTATACTTCTTACACAATCAAATTAGAATGGGAATGGCTCACTAATGGGGCTGAGGGCTTTTGGAGCAGCTCCATGGGAAGTTAAGCTAAGAATGTGGTGTAGGAGGTACCATTTAGTGAGCATGCATTATGCGTGCAGCTCATTCTCCACAAAGTGTACCACTTTGGCCATCTCATACACAGGGGCTCCAGCTGAGGCCTGGGTGGGACTGTCCTCATCATTCTTGGTTTTCTAGTCTGTAAAGTGAAACTTATGTTCTCCTATTGGATATTGAGGATTAAATGCATTCGTGCATATGCAACGTTTAGACCAGTGACTGACACAAGTGATCAGTAACTGCTAACTGTTACGGTTCCACTTACTCTTTACCTGGATGCAGAGAATCCATTTTATATATGAGGGGGAAAGAAATTATTTGTCTAAGACACAAAGATAAGCACCTTCAGGCTTGGGTGAGCATGCAAGGTGACAGGGCTGAGAGGTAGGGCTTAGTTTCCCCCAGACAACCTCCACCTCCTCCACCTCTGGGGGCCAGTGTGGTGACAGGAATGTCATTTGATCAAGGAGCAGATGCTATCAAACCAGGCAGGCTTTGTTTACAGTTTGGCTGTTTCAGTTGCTGCCTATGCGGGCCTAGACAAGTGCCTTAATAATTCTAGGTATGACTTTCATCATTTGTCAAGCGGAGTTAATAATGCTTGGCTCATATGACTGCTGTCAAGTTGAACAAAATATTACAGCCTGACTATCTACCTACCTACCTACCTGTCTACCTATTTACCAATCTATTACCCATCTTCTATCATAATCAGTTAATCTCATCTATCATCCATCTGTTCAACAATCCATTATTTATTCACACTCCCCCCTCCCCTACACTAACTCCATGACTGACACTTGTATAAGCTCAAGATAAATGCCCTTTCCTCCTTATGCCCCGATTTGTAGCACATGTGACCAGTGGGCTTTCCTTTTGCTCCACGCCCCTTGACCCCCTTGTGGGCAGGGACATGGTTTGGTCTCCCATGGCTGCCAGGCAACCTCTCTGAATATCGTGGTGCCTAAGATTTTGCTTGAGCTGCAGAATATTCCAAGGTGTGAAAGTGGATCCTCTTGTGACATGCTTGCTCTTCATGTCCCTTCCGGACAGTACAAGAAGAGCACTGTGAGGGAAGACTTGGTGGTCCTTGTGCGGAGAGGGGCAAGGGGCACATCACTGCCCTGGCCTATAAGGAGCTGCCCAGGGCTGCACTGATGCAGGAGTTGGGAGATGCTGGCAGTACAACCCGGCCTTCATCAAAGCAAAGGTACCCCAGCTGTGCCACCCACCACTGCCTCCTTTCTGGAGGCCCACCATGAGCCAGGGTGTGGAATGTAGGTCAGTAAGATGTGCCCTAATCTCAAGGCATGTTCATTATAGGAGAAAATATATCTGAGATGAACAGATTAGGACCTGCTGCTGTGTCCCACCTGGAGACCCACCTCCTTCCCACTTGGGTCCTCAAGTTTCTAAGCGTCTGCTTAGGCCTCTGTTAGGTCTAGACGAGAGACCTGACTTCTTCCCTCTCCTGTAGATGCTCTCATGGGCTCGATGGATAAAAAATAATGATCCCAACCACCTGTCACCAAAACAAGAGGAGATTTGCAGTCTTAAACTAAAAAGATATTTGTGGGAACAGGATTGTCATACATATCAGTAAGATAGGTCCTCGCCTGTGGGGACTTCGGAACAGCACCCAGCGCCTGTCCTACACCATATCCTTTCAGCTGGTGTCTGAACAGTCACTGATGGGCCATTGCCCCCTGAGAGTCCCCTTTTAGTCAAAGAGAGGGACTGGAAGACTGATGTGCCGATGAGACACTATAGTCTCCACATCTGGCAATTTCCCACAGTATCTTTATGTGTCAAAAGTAAAGTTTGTGCAGAACAAGAAAGCTGCCGTTCAGTCCTCTCCTCTGCACTTCCTCAGCGGTGACATTCTGGGCATAGTTGCTGTGATCACAAGAGGGATGGAGTCAGCCTTGGGAGGCTGGCAGCTCCAGAGAAAGCTAGGCTTGACGGATGTCATGGTGACACTGGTTGACATCACAGCAGGGCGTGGGAGACAAGAGAGTTCAGGAAAATAGCTTCCTGGGTTTTACTTTTTACTGAAACATTTCCTCTGAATATTTTTTAAAACTGACAACAAAGGGAAAGCCCCGGTTATTCAGTGAGGTTGGGGTGCCTGCCTAGGAATGTCAAATGCCAAGCATAGATGTCATCCAAGGCGAGTTAGAAAATCAGTGAGGGCTGGGGGGGTGGTGCGGTGAGGAAGGCAAGAGGGTTGAGGGTGATTGTGCACCTTTGCACCTCCCTGACCTGTGTTGGAGACATACATCCAGGTGTCCCCTCTCCTATGCACTCTTTCTGGAGAGAAAAAACTGCATAAGGCTTCCTATTATCTCAGAATAATTCTCTGCAGAGCCAGCTTACCAAGGAGCTGGAGTGACAATTGATTTTCTAGCCCACTAGGTAGGCAATTCCTAGATACAAGAGTGTTGGCTAACGCTTGAGTACATTAATGAGTCTCTGAAATCAAGACCTGAGACACCATCTCTATAGCCATCAGATAGGCAGCATAGGAGACCACAGAAAAGCCTGTTTGTACTATTTACTGGTGAACCAGATGTGGTCAGGTGGCTCTTGGTTCCAAGAAGAGTTAAGAAATAGCAATGGACATGTAAAGAGGTTTTTGAACACAAAAGATTGAAATTATGTTCAAGATGCAGAAAATGAGCATATATCTATAAGATAGGAAAATAGAAATAAGTTTTCGAATGCATTTTCTTTGTGATTATAACATATTCAAGAAAATGAGGAATTTATAAAATAAAAATAGCTGAGATGTTTAGACACTAATCAGATGAAAGGGAGGCAGCTAGATGTGGGGAAGCAAAAGCACAATAGCAGAATTAAAACCCACATTGGAAACTATAAAGAACAGAATTGACACTGCAGAAAATTGAGTCAGTGATGTGGAAGGTGCTATAAAAAAATGTTCTTATAATACAGAAACAAAAGACAAAGAGATTAAAACAATGACAGAAAAGAAATATGATGGATAGAGTACAGAAGTGGAAATCTAAAACACAAAGACTTCCTTCTGAGAAAGAGACAAGATTAAATGTGAAGACACATTAATCAAGGACATAATGGGAGAGGCTTCTGTGAGCCGATAATGTAAAATGAGCAGCTCATTGAAAGCTAGGCAAAAGTACTGAAAACAAAACAAAACAATACCGAAACACATCGCAGTGAAATGTTTTGCTTCCAGGAGCAAATATATCCTACAGGAATAAAAGTCAAACTGGTCTTAGAAGTCTACACTGTGAAATGCCTGGAGATAAAGGAGTGACAACTGTTAGTTCTAAAGGGAAAAGCTGGCGACCTGGTTAGATGGTCATTAAGGGGTGAAGAATTTCAAAGACATTTAGAGGTCATGAAGGAGTCACAAAAAGCATCACCCGATTTAGCAAATATCCAGTTAAATTTGACTTTCAGATAAACAAGGATTAATTTTTTAGTGTGAGCATCTCCCAAATATTGCAATTTTGTACTTTATACTTATTATTATTAATTAATTATTATTATTATTAATACTTAATATTATACAAATATTTTATACTTATTATAAAAAATATTTGATGTTTATCTGATATTGCAGTGTAACCACGTGTCTTGTATTTAACTGCCAATCTGAGGCATGTGGTCTCTCTTTCACATGCATTTCTGCATCTAGTCAGGCTGATGCAGAAGCAGTGTGCTGGACACTGGCGTTGCCCAGGGTAGAAAGAAAAACATGGTAATGAATGGTCTCGCAGAGAGATCAGGGCGCTGAGGTCACATGCAGAGAAATAATCCTCAAACCTCAGTTCAGCAGAGCTTACTTCTCAGTTACATGCAGTGTACAGTAAGTGCTTCTAAAAGGGCTTTGCTCCCTGTGCTCACTCTGGGAACTCGATGAGAGGATTTTTATCTCGGCATCTACTTCCAAGATGTCCTTGCCCTGAAATGAAAGCTTCCAATGGAAGTGAGCTTCTCCTGCTCACTTTTGGCTGGTTAGAGCAAGTTACAGGGCACACCTGCCTTTAAGGAGGGAGTCCTTCCATTGAACAACTCTGCCTCTAAGGAACTGCAGTCCTAGTATGTGCAAGCCTGCCCTTGAAGAATTTCAGTCCTACTATGTGCAAGCCTGCCTCTGAGGAACTGAAGCCCTACTATGTGAAAGTCTGCCCTTGAGGAATTTCAGCCCTACTATGTGCAAACTTGCTCTTGAGGCGTTTCAGTCCTACTATATGCAAGTCTGTCTCTGAGATGTGCCCTACTATATGCAAACCTGTCCTTGAAGAATTGAAGCCCTATTATATGAAACTTGCCTTTGAGAAATTGTAGCTCTTTTTGAAAGCAAATTATTCAAATATTTTCTAAAAGCAAATCCCCCTCATCCATAAGAGCATTTAAAATATAATGTGGTAGCACTAACCTGGTAAAGAGTGCAAAGTTGGGCTGATAGATTTCACTTCCAAAAACAAATTTAGAATTTCAAATAAGAACACCATAAGTATAAGCAAATGATAGATAACACACCAAAAGAATTTTGCCACAAAGGTAGACCCCATGTGATAATTTATTAGAAACAGACATGTTAAAGGAATTGCACAAGCTTCAACTGGCTAAGAAACATGCAAAACTGTTACTCTCACTAGCAATAAAAAAGTTCAAATGTAACAGCATGATGTTATCCTTCACTTGTCCAGTTGACAGTGATTAGAATCTACAATGCTCGCTGACGTGGAGAGGGAGGAAATGGGTAATTCTGTAAAGTGGGATGAGTATATGATATGGCACGACTCTTTAGGGAAAGGATGTAAGCACATATCTCCAAAATATTTTTAAATAACTAGCTTTTGATTCGGTAACACCAAATGCAAGAGTCCACTGAAGACCTAGTTTGAAAACTTGGTAATGATGTACGTATAAAGACATTCAGGTTTGGCTATAATAGCAAAAAGGAAAAGAAGAAAAGGAAATATCTTAAAGGCTCAAGGGAGAAGAGCTGAGTCCACTGCAGCTCCTCAAACAGCAGGCTACTCAGGGGTCACAGAAAGCCATTTCATCAAAATATATTGAATCACAGGGAGAAACACTCCTGATAAGTGTTCAGAGTGTGTTATAAAATCACACCAATGCACCAATCTAGTGTAAATACCTGTGCATTCACGTCTCTAAAAATACATCCTGAGAGGAAAGAGACCCACGCAGGAACAGTCCAAACCCTTTTCTGCCACTTACTGATATGTGAACTTTGTCAGTCTTTTTAAGTTTCCTGTGCCTCAGCCTTTCCCCTGAGCAATGTGGAAACAGATGACTGCCCATCTCCCACAACTGCTGTGAAGGTGAGATGACGTGTGTGGGTTGGAAAGTTCAGCACCCATAAATGCTAGCTCTAGAGATAATTATTTCTCATCACCAAGAGTGCCATGTCCAACTGTGGAACACTGCATGGCATTTAATAGAGATTTCCCAACAGTTCCTTGCAGCAATGTGATAAGTATAACCTTCAGTGGGGCAGGGGTGCTAGGGACACACAGACCAATGTATTTAGGGTTGAATATTTAGGGGCAAGGTGCAGAGTAAACAAGAAGAGGAAAAGAGAGAAAGGAAGAAAAGGGGAAGAAAAGGGGGGAAAGGCTTAAAGAGGAAAAGCAAACTAACAGCACACCTGAGCGATATTGGCTCAGGTCAAAGGAGAGCTATGGAGTCCAGCATTATGGCTGTTGAGTTGCAAGAGAACCACCACTGTCAGCAAAATTGGGAGAACTCTGGGGTCCAGAGTGGCAGTGGGAATAACCAAGCTGTTTTTGTCAATGCAATAGTCATAGTGAACTAGGAGGAAAACCCTGGCCTTGGATTAGACTCTTGGCCATAACATTTTATGAGCTGTGTGACCTTGGTCAAGATACTTATGCTCTCCATAAAAGGGGGCTAATACTTGTTACCTTGTGAGGATAAAGTAGATCCTATTAGGAAGCCCCTGGAGCCCATGCAGCTCCTGGAGTGGACTTTATGTGGAGGGTTTATTCCGGCTTGGCTACTGACAACTCCTCTTCCTCCTGGGTCAGTCTCCGCGCCGGTAGACAAAAGTTAAGGTGGTTAAGGGCAGCATGTCAAGGTGCTGGAAAGCAAAAGCAGGCTGCTGGAAGAGCTCTGCTTTGGAGTAAAGCAAGCTCCCCCTCCCCTGCACCACAGCCCCCTCCCTGTGTGTGGCCTGTAGGCTGGACAGTTCTGTAAATAGCCATTGGATCAATTCATTGACCACAGCCGGTGAGACAATGGGACCACCAAGGAGCTTGCTTTGCCCACTGGCGCGAAGGTCAGCATCAGATGCATTAAGAAATGGAAGCAATTTTCTTCCCACTGGAGGCTTCTATTAGACATGATTGCCTGCATTTAGAGGGACCCTAAACTCTCCAGGGCTGGATTGGGGCAGGATCATAACCAAACTCTGGAAAGGAACCTGGCCCTGGAGCCGGAGCTAAGAGAGGCGGTACATGGTTGATGACCTCTCCAGTCTTGGTCTCTGGTCTTCTTATCCAAGGCACCTCCAGCTCCCGCACAGCAGCACCTCTGTGGAGGGACCGGCACCTGAACTTTCCACTGCTCGGTTTCTGACAGCTGTGGCCCGGCTCCTGCTGCTGCCACTGCCCCACTGAGGCCTCCACCCTGGCATTCATTCCTGGTGGCAGTGACCCTAGTTTCTAAGGGAGAGAAGATGCTTGGGAGCTTTGGTACCTGGGAAGAGCTTGCTGATAGTGGCTCTTGCATGATGGGAATGTTTCTGAAAGATTTGGAGGGACCATGGTGTGGGGACAATAATCCTAAAGTACATTTAAAGAGCTGCTGGACACCAACCCCTGACCCCCCTCCACCATCCACCCCTCCCCTCTTACCTGCTCCCTTCTGTGAGTTCGGCTGTCACCACTATGGCTCCCCTCAGCACACTGTGGGGTTGGGTCCAGAAAAACCCACTGTAAGTTTGATATATTGCAAATTGAAGATGCATCTGGTAAGGCCAACCTGCAGAACATCCTAGCCTGGCATCGCAGTCTTCTGGAGGTTCAGAGTTCCTCTTGATGGTGACCAGGTAGGAGCTGGGCTCGAGCCCTGTCACAGCTACCCAACACCATATGAGAGACTTGTGCGGCAGAACACTAGTCCAGGAAGTGGTCACAATGCTACTGAATGAAGTTCACTTCCGTACCCTCCCGGAGTTGAAAAAGAAACCCTAAGTCAGATATGGTCTGTAATCATCTGTCAGGTGTTTGTCTCTATCTCTAGATTCTAAGTTTCTCAAGAGTCAGGATTTTAGCTGTTGTTCATGTTTAATGCCTAGCACTTAGTTGTTTGGTATTTGTTGGTCTGAACTGGAATGAGCTAATTTGTGCAGGTGGGTGAGAAAACAGACAGTTCTTCCTGTTCCAGAGGAATCATAAGCAGTTTCCACGCCCAGAGCCCCCACCCACTGGTGTGGCCTGGCTTCAGGCCTCATTTCATGAATGTTTCCTCTTGAAAACAATGCTCTTCCTCCCCTCCAGGCAGGGCCTCTATATGATTTGGTGATAGCCACAGATTTCGCCTACTCCAGCACAGTGAGACAGCACATGAAGCTCCCTGTGGGAAGTCAGCTCCTGCCACTGTGCCACCTGCCAAAGGAATGGAGTCCCTGTCCTGAAAAGGACCATTTCCAGGCCACTGGGGTCCCTGTGGAAGCTATTATCTGGAGGAAGCTGGCTCTGGGTTGAGCTGTTTGCCAGTTTCTGATTCCCAAGAAGGCAGGATGGAAGCACCTAGGGGACACTCTTCCCACTGTCAACGTACCTGGGTTCCAGCCTCAGGGGCTCAGTGGGTGACAGCAGCAGTTAGTTGAGGTCTGAATACAGCTGAGAGCATGTGGTGGCCATAGACTCAGGGAGCCTGACCCATACGGGTGAGATTTGAAGGCACAGTAAGGATCACCCAACAGAATTGAGTGCTGATTTCAAGGGTCACATCTGGGGTCACTGCAGTGGGTGGGGAAAACTGGGAGAGATGGTGACTGAGAACCCCGCTCCTGCTGTGAGGGACTAGCAAGGCACTGAGAAAGGTCCAGCCCACCACCCCAAACAGGACATCAGGAACCTCTAATTATAGCCAGTTGCAGTCCAGGAAGACGTAGCCAGCCGCAAAGAAGTCACCAAAGACCCGTTCTCAGGGAGAAAGATTCCAGTTGCCCATGCAGCACTGAGGAATTCGCTTCTAGTTTCTCATGTAGGATGGATATCAGCAAAACAGACACAGTTGGGTTAAGGTATAAATTTCACCATCATCCCAGGATTGCTGCGCAAGGGCGTGGGATCCTTATCAGCTCATGGTTTGGGTCCACAGCAGCTGAAGTTCCCTTTGCCTTGTGTGAGAATCTAGACCTAGAAGCTGGAGCTCAACTGAAGCTGTAAGTGGAGGTGAAGAATATGAAGCCAGTGTCTGACCAGGGATGGGGAACTCTGTAAAGCGATTCAGGTGACAGAGCTCCAAGGTGACAAGTTACATATTACCATAAGAATCACTCTCAAACTCTTAGAACTGGCCAGAGTTAGGGTGATCCCTAAAGAGTGATGCATTCCCCACTGTTATGGTTTGTGTCTGGGTGTCCCCTCAAAGCCACATGCAGTCATGGGGTGCGCTTTTAGAGTTTTCAATTCTTTGTTGTGAGTGCTACACTGCCCTGGGGCCAATAGTTTGCATATATAAGGGAGGGAAAAAGGCTGCTTGCTGCGCCACTCCTCCTTTTTGCTCTGGTTGCTTTTGCTGTCTTCTGCCACCATGAACTATTGCCCTCTGCCGTGTGCCACTCTGCCTTGGAGTCAGCCAAGTATGGACTGAAACCTCCACAAACTGTAACCAAGACACTAAGGTACTTAAGCAGAGGCTCAACAATGATATTAAATTGGACATCACTGATGATTGGCTTAAGTGAGGCTTAAGTGAGGCCACCATAGCTTCTGACCCTGAAAGCTTATAAATATGGATTGAATGTCAGCTAATAAGTAATTTCCTCAACAAGTCCTTGTAATTCCTCATGATGACAAAAACACCCTTTTATGAGCAAAGGGCCCTCAAGGAAGGAGTAGGTATTCTTGGAACTGAGCCTATGCTTTGTAAACCTTTCAACTCAGTGTTTTTTCCTGAAGTCACCTAATGGAATGGCCCTCATGTAGGAGACTGGGCCCAGGGCCTTCAATTCACATGGTGTAGCTAATGGTTTCTCCTAGTTTTTCAGGATCCCACAGTGAGTGCATCTTCCCTCTTGGCTTCTGAGGACCAGAATGTGAGGTCAACCAACAGAAAAGTAAGGGTCCTTTTGAGCGTTGTTCAGACAGAGGAACTCTGGGGAAGTGCAGAGAATAAGTCAAAAGAAGAAGGCCATGGTGGGGGTTGCAGTAGGGGGCTGGACACTAGGAAGCTGGAGATCCATTCTGGGTTCTGGTGTTGTGTTGCATTATTTTACACTTCAGAGTGTTCTTGTTACAGAACTGCTGATGCATGCATGACAGCTCCAAGTCCTTGTTGGGTAATTCTGGAGTACTTAAACTCTTTCTATGTAGTGAGCGTATACTCAGCCCTCAAAATCCTGCACTGATGTCCATTCTCTGTCAAAAATTCCTTGAAGTCTGCAGGTGGAGTTTATTCATTCCTCCTGTGGGTGCCCATGGACCTTGAACATATATTCATCATGGTTCTCAGCACATTGCATTTGGGGGTTGGGGACAAACCTACCTGCTGTGCCTCTGTGAGTAGTGATCAAGTCCCATTGGTTTCTGTGTCTGCTCAGTGATGTATATGGAATTAACAAATGAAAAATGAGACTAAGGCTCCCTTCCAGCTCCAAAATTCTTTGGTCAGTTTATTATCTAAGAGCTCTCAACCTCTTTTTGCTTTTATTCCATTCTGTGACATTTTGATCCTCTTAAAAGTGAGTATGGAGCATTCAGTAAGAAGGAAAAAACATTTATTGGACACTTTTATAGAGTAGGCACTTTCTGAGTACCTAGACTCAACTTGGATTTGAATTTCACCTCTTTTATTCACTAACTGTGATCTTGAGCAAGATGTTTATTCCTTTGTGCCTTTATTTCTGCACCTGTAAAATGGAAAGGATCAATTAACTATCTCATGGAGTTGGCTTGAGTTTGTAATGAGGCATATAAAGCAGAATCCCCCAAATTTTGGCCCCAGGGACCATTTTTCTGGAAGACAATCTTCCTGCTGGTAGGAAGTGGGATGATAGTTTGGGGATTAAATTCTTGCTAGAGATGCACAACCTAGATCCTTCACTTGTGCAGTGCACAGCAGGGTTCACACTCCTATAAGAAGCAGAGGCTTAACCATGATAAGTTGGACATCAGTGATGACTGGCTTAAATGAAGGCACCCAAGCTTCTGACCCTGAAAGCTTATAAATGTGGATTGAACATCAGCTAATGCCTCTGCCAATCTGACAGGAGCCAGTGATAGGAAGTGGCAAAGCTAGATACCTAGTATATCATGATGAGTAACTGATTATTCATATTCTCATCAACATTCAAAACATCCTCAAGTAGGAGGTAGGGGTGTAGCTCAGTGGTAGAGCCCTTACCTTGCATACAGAGATCCTGTCTGAACGACAGCACCATGCAAAAGAGAAATCCAAGAAAGGCAAATGTCATCCATCCAACAGATGTTTACTGAGGGCCTTCTCTGTGCCCATTGGGTACTGAGGCTCACTGGTGACAAATCTGATCCAGTCCTTATCATCACAGAAACTGCACTATGGAAGAGAAGATCAGTGTCACTAGAAGTGTCCTATTGATGCATTGAAAATTTCAGTTGTAACAATTGCTACAAAATGCTCTGAGTTTAAAATATGGGAAACTGATGGAGAATTAGGGGTCTTGGAAAGTTTCCCTAAGGAAATGTGCTCTTGGTGAGATCTGAAGGGTGAATAGGCTGGATTGGGTGAGCAGATGCCGGCCAAGGAAAGCAGCATGGCACATGCCCTGTGGTAACGGAGGACAGGGTGGTACAATGGTCACAAAGAAAGACATTTGACTGGAGAGGTGAGGTCAGTGATTCAGACCCCCAAGGCCATTTGCCTTACCCATCCTGCCCCACCCCAGGGCACCAGATTATAGTAATGTGTGTTAACCTCTTTTCTTGCAGATGACCCCATCAATGGGAACTGGAATTGCTGGTCCACCTAGTCTTCATGCTCTAGGGGACTAAAAACAAGACAAAGAGTTCCACACAGTGGGGGAAGCCCCTGCTCAGGCCCCACATCAGAGATGGTCAACTGTTCGGCAAGGGAGCATTTCTGGCAGATGACACCGCTGTGCTCTGCACACAGTGGGGGCCTGGGGACCCTCAGGCCTCGCCCACCTCACCCTACTCCAGCTCCCACTGTAACCAGCTCAGGCAGAGGGAAGCGCCATTCAGGCTTTTAAAGTAGAGATATTATTTTGTAAAATGTACGGTGATTTGAATAGTGAGTTAAACAAAAGTGTTGAAGTTCTCTAAAAGGACCTTATAAAACTCATGCTGCCCACTCTACACTTTTACTTCACTCTCATTTACTGTTGGCCAAGGGCTGTGCTGGAATTGTTCACCAGGTAGTCCCGCCCTCTAGCAGATGACGGGCATACAGGAGGTGACTCCTAATGAACCAACAAATAGATATGAAGCTGCTCTTTCCTTGATGAGTGCAGGATGAGGTTCAGCAATTATGGAAGCTGCTGTTTCCTGGATGATCACTATGTGCCAGCCACTGATTCGTTGTCTCAGTTCATTCATGGCCACCTCCCAAGGCAGATGCTCTTTCTTATTAACCCTAGTAAAGAGCAGGGGGGACTGAGGCTCAGAACAGTTCAGACACTTGTCCAAGGCTGCAGAGAAAGTGGGCTACCCGGACTGCACACTCCGGCTCTAGAAATTTAAACTCTTAACTGTGATAGTCTCCTGCTTTTCAGTGAAGCAGCATCTGGTTAATAAAGGATTTTTCACAAAATATAAAGCAAAAGAAAGCACTGTGTGCACATGTGTGCATGCGTGTGTGTGTGTGTATGTGCGTGAATGTGTGTGTGTGTGTGTGTGTGTGTGTGTGTGTTGACAATCTCTGCTGGCTGCTGCCAGAGGAAGGTGGGTCTCTGTCCTTCAGCTCCTCTGCTAACTAACTTGCCAACCTGAAAAACAATGTTAGGACTAACCCTGTGGAACTTGCTGGTCAGGTGTTAATACTTAATAGGTAAGAACAGTTTGCATCTCAGCTCAGCCACTACCTCCAAATAGTTAAAGGAACAGTAGGGGTGAGTGCCTGGGGGGAGTTTCCCAAAGCCAGGGAAAGTTAAAAGAAAAAAGGGAAGGCTGTGATGGCTGCAAGAGAGCAAGCCAAGGAACCTTTGATGGCTATGGGGTAGATGCATGGTACCTTCCCCTCACTTCCCATGAGCTGGTCTGTGCTTCCTACTCTGGGCAAATACTATCTGGGGAGGAGAGTGCCTGAAGAGGAGAATAAGACAATTGATCTGCAAGTTACAAAAACACCAAAATATGTTTGTTTTTCAGGTTGGCAAGTGAGGATCTAAATTCTATTTCTCTCATTCATTCAATCCCATTAAAACCTCCCTTAAGATTTTCTTTGCTCTGGCACATCCTGCCTGGTTGAAAAACTTTAGGTGCATTTACCAGAAAGGAGTGGGGGGAGGTGCAGCTAATTAAAGGTGAATTTGCCTCATCTTATTCCCCTTCAATCAGTTTGCTGTCAGCCAGATCATCTGCATTGGGTTCACTGCCGGATTTGTTTGCTGGGTACGAGACCCTGGCACATCCACAGCACGGAAGCTTGGTGCCACCGATTGGCGTGCCTTGAACTGCTCTCCCAAATGAAATTAATAGAACAAGGAGCTGTGCAAGTGTTGTTGCAGCAAGCGAGGTGATCGTGTCTGCCTTCGTGCATCCCTGGGTCCCTGGAATAAAGCTGACGGGCCTGGGCCCTTGTTTAGTTTAATATTATTGCTTTGCTGTCTGCTGTTCTTTCAACAGGCTAATCCAATAATGTTTTATCTCTTTCATTATACCGAGGCCGTATAATTTTCTTGAGTTATAATCTATCTTCTTTTAAGATTCCCCAGAGACAAGGAAGAGCAGCTCTGTCTCGGTTGACGCAAGGCACGCTCAAAGCCCACACTAGCTCAGCGAGGCGAGCACCGCCAAATTAAATTCCGAATCTCAATCACAGCCACCACTTCTAATGGGAAATTTGAGTTGATTATGGAGATGACAGCCAGGTTCACGTTTATTGCGTTTAGCAGAAATTGTTTATCCTATTAAGTACGGTCTTGAAGGAGAGACGATTGGATTGCAGAGCACCGGTGAATACCCGGGTGACGCCCAAGCGCTGCTAAACTGGGTAATAATTATATTCTTATTTGTGGGCTGAACTTCCCCACGTGGCTCTTTTTGCCAACAAATGCAGTTAGGAGGAGGCGGAAACATAATGTAGGAATTAAGCAAAATAAACGCAAACTGTGCTTTCAGAGAGTATTCGTAACTGTACCTGTGAAGGAGCTGCAGCATCCTCAGGCGGATCGCAAGCAGGGCCCCAGGAAACCTCGAATGCGGCACTAGACACTTGCGTGTGGGAGAGCTTTGTACCCAACAGAACGAGTCTTCGAAAGGCTATGAGCCCTTTCACACATTTCATGTCAGGGTGGGAGGTTTTCCCCATGACCTTGGACTAATAACTTCTGCAGGAATAGTAACTATTATAATTAGCTTAACAATAGTAATAATAATAGCTGCCAATTACAGACTGCTTCCCAGTTTAGGAAGTCCTTTAGCCTGCATTATCCCATTTAATTTGTGTCTGAATTTGATGGGGTAGATAGTAATGCAATCATCAGGTGACAAAGACAGCCTCAAAAGGAAACACGATCCTTACTGAGAAGGGCTGGACCATGGCACCTGAGGCATGTGATGTGGAGGCCAGGAAGAAGTGTGCGTGGCTGGCAGAGAATCCAGGAGGGCAGAGCCCCCTCTGTCCTAGGAGACTTCAGCCTGCTCCTGGCACTTAGGGGGATCCCTCTGGAGAGGGATGCCTGGGGCAGGAGCCTGTGGGGGCACCAAGCTGTTCTCTCTGGGAATTCATGCTCAGCACTCAGGTGGAGTAACACCTTGACCATAGGACCTTGCGTGTAGGTGCCCCACATATGCCTTCTTTCTCCTCGTGACAAAGGCTTGGACCTCTCAAGATAGCACTGGCAGGTGGTGGAATCCTTACAAGGCAGGGCCCAGTGGGGACCTTAGGTTATTGGCAGTGTGCCATCAAAGGGGACTGTGGGACCCTTGTCTCTTCCTCTGTCTTTCCTACCCAGCCAGCATGAGGTGAGCAGCTCTGCTCCACCACCCACTTCCTGCCATGATTTGCTGCCTCACCACAGGCCTCAATCAATGGGGCCAAGAGAACATGCAATGAAGCCTCTGAAACTGTGAGCCAAGATAAAACTTTCCTCTTTTTAGCTAGACTGTCTCAGGTATTTTGCTACAGTAATGAAAACAAATAACACAGAATAGATATTTCTTCTTTCTGTTCCCCTTTCAACCTGTATCTCTGTCATCACAGCATGCATTCCAGGGCAGAGTGTTGATGGAGTCTGCACAGATATATTTTTGCACAGATTGCAGATATCCTTAGTGATATTCTGTCTGTTCACCAGTATTTCCAGCCCCTGCAGACACTGTATTATAACTTATTCTACATTATCTCTTACTCCTCCTCAAGTATAACACCCATGCAGGCAAGAGCAGTACACTAACATGTCTCCAGGCCCAGGTTCCACACCTACTGCTCCAGGCCATCAGTAGGCAGTGGTTGCATGAATGAGTAAACTAATGGAGAGGGGTGGGTGGGAGCGAGGGCACAAACTTCATAGGCTGCTGAGAAACTTCAGTGACTTGGTGCCACATGAAGGTGGCATCATGAGATGAACACACTGCAATGCCAAGGGCCGAAGCAACCTGTGTAGCAGTGAAGGGGCAGCCACTTCTGCTGGCTTCTGGGCAGCAGTGCCAAAGAGGAGTGAAATAAAACATGGCAAATGCAGTGAACATCAGGAAGGGGCTGATGGTGCCGGCTTGGGAGCCATGTTGGTGACACCACTGGGGAACAGCTAAAATTCTCCAGGGAAACTTCACAAGGAAATGGAGTTAAAATGCTGTCATCATTGGTAGGGTATACCTGAGAAGCACATTCAGAGGCTGATGAGAAAACCAAGGCCCAAAACACTGGGAGCAGCCTTACCCGATCTGTAGCAAAGGCAAGAAAGAGCAACTTGAATTTCCTCTTCCAGTGTTCTGCCTCAACCCCCATTTCTTATCTCTAGATTAGTTTTAAAGCTGGATCCTAACAGCAACCTGTGGAAGAGGGCATGGTAGTTCCTTGTGGTTTATTGACAGTTGTTATGAAATCTTAGTTTCCTACACAGCGGTTTTATTTTTGTGTTACTTTCCTCAGTGCTGGGCCGGAGTTGGACTCAGAGGCATCGAGACACCCCCAGGTCTGCTCCGGGCATGGTAGGGATGATGTCCTTCTCACATGGAAGTGGAGACAGTATGGGTATGGTGGACTGACAACTGATGGCCAACTTATAACACCCAGCTGAAGTGAGTAAGTGTGGTCCTGGGTGTGGAAGGCCCACCTAAGGATTGTTACCAGAAGCATAAGAGGCAGAACTGGAGAAGTAAGGTTGCTGTGAGGTGGTAGAAGCTGTAAGCAGCCGTTGGTTCTTTTGGAGGAGCTTGTCATGCTGGCTTTCCTGATGAACTTGGCTATTTTCATCCTCCAAGGAGCTCAGGGCCTTGTTTTTGCGAGAATGGCTTCAGTTCACTTTGGGGGATCTCTGGTCCTCGCTCTGAGCATCACTTCCTGGCTCCAGAGGGGAAGATAGCTCACTGCTCTCTCCTGGGGAAGCTGTTGTGTTGGCTTTCCTGATGGGAACTCAACTATCTTGATCACTGGAGGAGCTCAGGACCTCACTGTTGCTCAGGATGGCTGTGGTACTTTGGGGGTTGGGGGCTCTGGTTTTTATTTTGAGCGTCACTTCCTGGCTCCAATGTAGATCCCTCAGCTGCTAGCACAGATCCTTCATCCTCCTGGCACAGCCTTCCTAGATTCCACCACTGACCTTTGGGTCTTCCACGCAGATCCATGAAACAGGCCTGCATGAGATATTGTTATGGGCTCTAGGCCTCCAGTTGGACTTGTGGGAGGCATTGTTATGCGCTCTAGGTCTTCAGCTGGATTCATGCAGGACATTTCTGTGGGATCCTGGCCCTCAGCAAGATTCTTGGGTCTTTAGTGTATGGCAGATTTCCTGCACTCTCTTGTATATGATTTCTTTGGGTGACTATTATAAATAATCTTATAAAATATGCATCCTCTATTATATTGTTCACCTTGCAAAAACCCCAAACTAACACAGTGGGGAAGGAAGTGGAGGCCGCGTAGGGAAGGCTGGCAGCAAGGCACGTGCACGTGTGTGCAGGGGAGCACCAGCCTGGCTCTGAGGCTTACGGCCCTGTGGCCTTCAGCCAGCTGGGCTCTCTACTGCGCTTCCACAGCCTCACCTGGGAGATGAGAGGAGATCCGGCCATGGCAACTGCAGCCTCCTGGCGCCCAGGGAGCACACGTGGGCTCCTGCATGTGGGGAAGCATGCCTGGGTCCCGCAAACCTCCTTAATTACCTGTGTCCTTGCCGCTGTCATTTCCGGGGATTCTCACAATCTCAACAAGAACCTCAGGTTGTTGGGTTTTTTAAAAAGTCATTTAACACTTCTTTAAAGCCATTTCAGTGCAAAAGTCACTGCAACATATGAGAACAAAAAGCCATAAAATAGCTCAGCTCCTAGGAGATATCTTAATAAAGAACATGGAGGGCTTTTCTCGGCCAAGCTCTGGGTTATTACAGGAAAGTGTAACAACATAATAACTAATATTTGCAGAGGGCATTACTAGTTACAAAGAACTTTCACGTACCTAATCCAGTTTAATCCTCTCAATGCCTGCAAGAGGAGGGATTCAGTATCTGTTTCTGACAGGTGATGAGACAGAGCCAGGGAGAGACAGTGATTTTCCCAAGACCATATGGCTCAGAAGGGCTCAGTCCAAGGGCTGGGGCTGCTGCCCCCGTGGTCCCATCTCCTCCGTGGCAGAAGCACCTCCTGGTGCCCACGCACCCACATGGAGGAGACACAGGAGACGCTGCGTGGGTCTGCAGGGCTTTGAGGCGGACAGAGGGCTAAGATTCCTGCCATCATTTCCAGCAGTGTGACTTTAATCCAGTGACTCAGCGCCTCTATACCTCACTGTCCTCGTTGGAGAGCACAGTTGAGCCCTGGGTGTCATCACATTCAAAGGCGTGGCTGTCACCCCAAAGTTCATGGTGGGCATGCAGCAGAAGCTCAGCTGCCTTCCGTTTCTCATGTCCTGAACAGTCAGCCCTGTCTACCTCCTGCCTCCTTTTCCCTGTGTAGCGCCTGACTCCTTGAGTGTGGAGGTGCATTTCACAGAGAGAAGAGGAGAAGAAAGTACTGGCACATCTGTGGTGAGGAATTCTCGGGGGCCTGTGGCAGGAGTCAAGTGGCTACTCTGACAGCCCCCTTTGTGCAGTGGGCCACAGCAAAGCTGGGCGCTCCCATCATCGCCTCTGCCTGCACCACCCCCTGTTATCTCACATGCACACCTGGGGACCCCGGGGGTCCCTTCATCCATCACCGGCCATTGTCCAGCACCCACGCCCCACACCCCCACCTCCTGCCAGATGACTCCTTGTTAATAAGCCAGTTTTCTCACATCCTGAAAACTATCTGATTCTGCCCCCTTTTATCCCAAACACCATCCATCCATCAACCGCGCACTGCACACGCTTGGTTAGGAAACTGGGAATGAGGGAGGCGGCAAATAATAGATAAAACTTCTTAGCTGCTATCTCTGAAGAAATAGAATGGATAAATAGATCTGTCAGACATGAATCATGCCACTGGACAGCAAAGTCTATTTGTTAAAAACAGGTTAGGATGGGAGGATTTATCTCCCATTTTAAGCTGTTAATATAGAAGGGAAACATATTTTCCTTTATCTCTCCCAGGGGAAGGGGGAAATCCCAAGACCATGAATGAGGAATTTCTCACTTGATTTGGTGGACTTTCCTTCCCTAAGGTGGAAACAGTGGGTTTGCTCTTGAATTTGTGCGGCCTCTGGGAAGGGTGTAGGCTCTGCTGTGCTCTGCTGCAGCAGGAAGCCTGCCAGATCCAGAAAGCCCATGAGCTTCTCTCTCACAGCTTCCTGCCTGCTAGATACAAAGGCCACTCTAGGCTTCACCTCTGGCACCAGATGATGACGACAGTGACGCTGACGATGGTGATGGTGATGATGTTGGAAGGGAGGGAGAGCACGAGCAGATGGGCATTTTACAAGAAAGGTCGATGTGCCAGGTGCTGCATGGGGCCCTGGGGCTCTAGAGGTAAATAGAAGCCCGCACCTGCCCTGCCAGAGCCCCTGGATAGGCAGACAGGTGAGATGCAAATGCTGGAGTACCGAGATTCCAGTGAGGTACAGGTCCTGAAGAGAG